TCAAGTGGATTACAAATACAAATTCAGTACAAAATGCCATAAAGATTCAAACAGGGAAAGATAATAGACAATATTCTGGTATGGAGGAATTAGATAGGTTTCTGGAAGAATATGGAGATGAACTTTTAAAAAGGATGATGTTTGATCAAAAGAAAAATGATCAGAAAGAGACAGCTCACAGAATGGCAGAAAATCTCCACTAGCTATTCAATGGACAAAGGATTAATATCTAGAATATACAAAGAGTTTAAAAAAATTCAATAGCAAAAGAACCAATAATCATCCAGGTACCAGTGCCTGATCTTCGTAATCCTTGTTACTTGGGAATGAGACAGGAAGAACTGTGATTCCAAGTTATTTTGTGCAGAAGTTGATGAGAGCCCCTCTGACCCCGTGGCTAGGCATAGCATCACACGCTCGCAGGGAGGATCAAGGCTCCAGACCAGCTTGGGCAGAAAAGTCCTAAAGACTCTTAACTGTGTGGAGTGCATTTGTCATTAAACAATGACATGAAGTCTAAAGTTAAGTATGCAATGGCAGTCCAGGTATGTTCCTGAGCAGGAAGTCAACTATGTAAAAAGTAACCAGTACAAAACAGGATTGCTGGCATGGCTCTACAGTAGAACACCTGCCTAGGGAGTATGAGGCTCCTACAACTACCAAAAAGGAAATTATGAATGATCCCATGAATAAATAACAAATGCACTAAATGGACAGTTCTCAGAAGAAACACAAATGGCTAATAGACATATGAAGAAATGTTCAATATTCTTAGCCATAAAGGAAATGTAAATCAAAACTGCACCCCAGTCAAACTGGCAATCACAAGAAAATAAACAATAACAAATAACAGTGAGACTATGGGAAGAGACCAGGGAAGAAACTCTCAAACTGTTAATGGGAGCATGAAGAAGTACAATGATGGGAATCAGTATAGAGGTTCCTTACGAAATTCAAATCAGACATACCTTATTATCCTACCATAACACTACCGGGCTATATCAGGAGTATAAAACAATATACAGGAAAGAAATCTTCATAACCACATTTATTGCAGCTCAGTTGACAGTAGCCAAATTCTAGAATAAGCTAAGGTGTTCAATAACCAAAGAATGGACAAAAATTATATGGTATGCATGTATGTAAATATGTACACTCACCATGGAATATGACATTGGCATAAATAAAACGGAAGTTATATCATTTGCAGGGATGTGGATGAAACCGAGCTCATCATATTGAGTGAGATAAACCACGCTCAAAATGCCAAATATCACATGTTCTCCATCTGTGCCAATGTGTAGAGCACATCTAGGCAGCTGTTACCCTAAAACCAGATTTCTCCAGGTATCTGAAAGGCGTGTCAGATGGACACCTAGCTGCCTAGAAACCTGTACTTCTTTTCTGTTTCCTATTTGCATCCTTTGCACATGTTTAGGTAACCACTTTACGAATGTCTTAGGTAACCACTTTACGAATCCACAGGTCACAAGTCATAGTTTCACAGCTATATCTTAAGCTAAGATCTATGATTCTAGAAGAGTACTGGTTGAATATATTGAATTGTATGACTGTACTAACAATTTTTAGCAATGAATCTACCAAGAAGCATTTAGGGGTGCTTCAAATGTAGAACTTTTAGATATGACCCTACAATGAATGATTAATTATAGAAATCTTTTATACATTCCAGCAGAGTGGACGAGCGGTTCTGCCGAGTCATGAGATTATGAACATTTGTAATTTTAATAGTTACTGAAAATGACCTTTCGAAAGAGTTATACCAATGAATTCTCCCTCTAATAGTGTACTGACGGCCCTTTTATTCATACTATTCCATCATTGGATATTACCTGTCTTACTAATTTTTGCAAATATTATGGTTTCGACCAGCTTTTTCCTCATCATTAGTGAGGCCAAACACCTTTTTACATGTTAATTGGCCACTTGAAGATCCCTAAATTGTCTTTTCATGTCCTTTTCATATGCTTTGCCATGCTACTTATTAGTATTTATGGACTAGTTTGTCTTCTGCTGATGGATTTACAGGAAACACAGGCTCACTGGTGCTACTTTTCATTTTATGTGCACCAAACATCTGTCTTCCTCAACCATCCCCACCCCACCTGCCCAATTCCGCCCACCACTTCTGCCTCTAAGATGTCGGTCATTTCTAAGTTTTCATGTAATCAAATCTGGTAATTTTTTTCCTTTAAGCCTTCTGAAGATTTTAGGTCTTAAGAAATTGTTCACTTACTCTAAGATTTTATATATATATATATATATATATATATATATATATATATATATTTCTGCATATTCTTCAATATTTTCCTTTTGACATATCAAACTAGTTTCTATGGACTTTGTTTTATATATGGTAAAAGATAAGCTCCAACTTCATTTACTTATAAATCAACAACAGTTTGATACTATTTACTGGCAAAATCATTTTTCCACTCATCTGAAATGTCACATTTATCCTCTATTAATAGCTTACAAATAATTTAGTCTATCTGGACTTAATTTTAATTAGCAATTTAACCTATACTCTTCCTTTTCAAAGATTGAGAAAAATGACAGAAACTTGAAGAAATTCAGGGTATCAAACCTATAAAGGTTAAAGTGAGTGTACAAGTGAGTGAGGAAAGTTAGAGTGTACAAGCATGCACTTAGAGATTACCACAGATTTAGCAATCCACTGTGCCTCCAGCTTTGACATATCCTCCTCAATGATGGCACCGTCTTTGCACAAGAGGACCACAAAGAACTATGTGCTGAATGTTCTAACAAATAACACTGGGTTCAGTTTTCTCAGATACAGTATGTAACTTAAAAGTAATATTTTGATCAACGGCATGTCATTTAATTAAAAAATAAAGCTTAAAAACATTATTGTATTACAGAAAGAATATAAGAACTAAAGGCAATTAATATTACCTTAAAAAAAGAAAGAAAAAAAACGGATGTTCCAGTGTGTTTGACAGGCCTCTTAGGGTTCACTAACTTTCCCATTCTCTAAGGGGAATGTGATATACCTTTAAAATACACACACACACACACACACACACACACACACACATAAGAGGTAAACTGTGCTTAATAGTTGAAAATATCAAGGATACATATTTGAAAAAGCCATAAGTTCTTAAGGTAGGGGAGATCCTGTTTGACAAGGTTACCAGTGACAATAAATATAATCAGGAAAGTGCAAATTAACAGATTACCTGGGCAGTAACTAAAGCCATACCATGTTATACTCTAATTAACAGAAACATTTAAGAAATAGTTATTCTGTGTCTTGCATTTCTAATTCCTGAAGGGATTTATGCAATCAACTGATCATATTGTTTCTGGGAATGTTTGAAGGAAATATATTGCATTTAATGTTTTCTACATACATTCAAAAGTAAGAACTAATACTTCTGTTTTGTTGTAGTTATTATCTATGTTGAACATGAATATATTGAAAAAAATAATGAATAACTCTCCTAATAAATCCTAGTATAAGCCACTTAGTGTAAATTTATGTAATATTCTTAGTGATTTAAAATCTATAGACACTTGTTTGTTTATTTGCCAGTCCTGGGACTTGAACTGAGGGCCTGAGCATTGTCCTTGAGCTTTTTGCTCAAGAGCTTTTTGCTCTTGGTTAGGCCAACCTTCCCAGTTTACTTGAGAACTTTGGATCACCTGTCTTCCCTAAGTCATTCATTTCTTCTAGATCATTCTCACTACCACATACTCTCAAAGTATCTTCATTTAAAAGCAAAAACCCTTGTCATTAGCAAACCTCCTCCAAATATGACCCTATTTCCTTCTTCCCTTCTGCAGTACAATTCCTTGAAAAAGTTCCTGAATTGCTGTGGGTTTTTTCCTTCTCCATTTTTCCTTGGTTGGGCCTACTCCAATCAAGTTTTATTTCCCAGTACTGCTCTGAATTTCTAACAGAGTCACCACCAACCTCCTCATTTCCAAAAACATTAGATAAGTCTTAGCCCTACTTCTTAGCAGCAACTTCTGGCACCTGATTACATTCTCCTTACAGTAATTTAATTGGTTGCAAGGACACCCAGTTCTTCTATCATTTTCATACCTCATTGATTGTTCCTTCTCAGTCCTCTTTGATGAATCTTTCCCATCTCTGATTTCTACATGTAGGAGTGGCCCAGGGCTCAACACCTGAAACTCCTGCCTTCTCTAGCGAAATTCTTCTAGGTAATCTTTGTTTTTCGCTAGTGCTGGAACTGGGGCTTGAACTCAAGGCCTAGGACTTACTAGGCACACATTCTACTGCTAAGCCATACCTGCAGTCCATTTCTGGGCTGATTATTTTTGAGATAAGATCTCATTTCCTACCTGGACAGTGATCCACCTATTTTAGGCACTGTGTCATAGCTAGGATGACAGATACTTGTCATCACATCCAGTTTTACAGACTTTCCTGAGATAACATAATACTGTGATCTTCCCAATCACAGCCTCTCAAGCTGGGATGCCACATTATGCCCATTACTGATTGAAAAGAGGTGTTGTGAACTTTCCTGCTCCACCTGGCTTCAAATTGTCATCCTCCCTCCCACTTTTAGCCTCCCAAGTAGCAAGGGTTACATGCGTGAGCCACTAGTGCCAGCTCGTATTTTTTATTGGTTTCTGCCTAAAGAGAAATGAAATTCATAAAAATGATTTTTTAAAAATGAAAATTGTAAATCCTGCTTACTTTTTTTCATAGTAATTCAACATGCTCTTAAAATATGTTGTGTACTTATAATCAAACAACTTAATTAGAAATGAACTCTATGAGAATATGGATTTTGCTTTACTTTTTTAACTTTGGAATCTAGAAAAATGCTTGGTATGGTAAGCATTTAATAAATATTTGTTCTAAAGTGAAAATGTAAATTTTAAAAAATGTGTGCACAGGTTTGACTGTGAATATGGCTTCATGATGCAGCTCAACACATAATCCAAAGTTCAAATGTGTGTTGAGTATTACTCACCTTCCGTTGTTTTCCAGAGTCCAATTTTATGAGCCAGTAGGAAGCCACTTTTGTTTTATGATGCTTCCAGTTATCGATGATCTGATTGGGGGAAGAATAAAATGTAATCTTAAAAAATCCATCCTAAGTAGTAGTAAATAAATGGTTAATATTACTTTTATTAGTGAATGTGAGACACTGCAATAATACTCATAAACACCTAGCTTTAATGAAAAGATCTGTGCAAAGATTTCTAACATAAGCCAAAGAAGGTCTCTGAATCCAAAGCTATTACTTCTTCTTGTACCAGGAGCACAATCTCTAGTAAATGAGAAAAATCTTCAGGCACAAATATATTAAGAAGACAGATTTTCCATCTTTAGTCTCAAGATTTTATTAACAACATTATTAAATACTAAGTAATAGAATATTAGAAGGTAGATGATATTTAATCAAAATTCTATTATCCCTTTGATTCGTATCATGTATATTTATAGAATTCTACACAGTCTAATACTGCATATAGCAAACAATCTAATGTTAACTATTAATTGTTTCATTAATGATAAAAATTTGCGTGTCACTCATAGAACAATAACATTAGCCACAAATACTAGTTCTACCTGCTCACTATTCAACTTTGACCTGATTCAAAATAGAGTATAAAAAGGAATATATACAATTATAATGACTAGTACCATCATCAGTTTTATTTTAAAAAGGATTTATTGAATAAGATAACAGATAGTACATATAAATAAAAATATATCTAGCATAATTCTTTGCAGTCAATTTTATTTTTTCCCTTTTCCTCTGGTGTCACATTGGTAGCTTATGAGCCAAACAAGGTATTATTTTCAGTGTTTTAAAAATTATGGTCATGCCGGGCGCCGGTGGCTCACACCTATAATCCTAGCAACTCAGGAGGCTGAGATCTGAGGATCATGGTTCAAAGCCAGCCCGGGCAAAGAAAGTCCATGAGACTCTTATCTCCAATAAACCACTAGAAAACCAGAAGTGGCGCTGTGGCTCAAACGGTATAGTGCTCTCCTTGAGCTAAAGAGCTGAGGGACAGTGCCCAAGCCCAGAGTTCAAGCCCCACGACCCACCAAAAAAATAAAAAAAAAATAAATAAATAAAAATTATGGTCACAATAAAATGCATACTATTAGAAGCTTCAGTTATAATCATACCATAATTGTCACTATGAATTGTTTAATCAAGTCTTTTGTCATTTTGTTTCATTTTTCTTTCTAAACACTTGCTTTAGACAAATCCACAGTAACGTTTAAAAGAGAAAAAAAAAAACCCTAAAACTAAAAAAGCTGATTGTATCTTACAGTTGATCACTAGATGGTGCTTTCTACTCTACAACAAAAGAAAGAAAGAAAGGAAAAGAAAGAGAAATTACAGAAAAAGTTCTAATATTCTATTACTGAGTAATTATCCAAAATCAACATTTGAAAAGATGCCTGAATGAAGAAATGGAACCAGAGGCAAGGAAATACCCTTCACCAAAAATGCTTCAATGACTTTGGCCTTCTTTCTGAATCAGGAGTTCAGTCTGGACTCCAATGTGAATTTTAGGACCCTTTGCCATTTTTAGGTATTCCAAAGGGTGGTACAAATCAGTGTGTGAACAAAGGAGAACACAACTCAGCATAGGGCACTTGACCAAAAAAAAAAAAAATACTGTGACATTCAAGGTGTCACATTCCATTTCTCTTGACATTTTATGGCAGGGCCCCACATTTTTCATCATGCCCCATCCAAGAAGTTCAACCTGATATTTCTTTAACCACTAAGAACAATAATTATTTAACACTTTTTCTTACTTGATAAAACAATCTTAAAAGAGGACTTTATACTAAAAAAGTATTTTTGTATTGCTGATTATAAATGGGATCTCACTGTTCATGAGTCATAATATTTTTATAAATTGTGTGGAAGTTAAAAAGGGCATCTTTCTTACCCAGGCATTGCATTTTCACATTTGTAAAAGGATAAGTAAATGCTTCTTGGCATTTCACATGCATCTAATACTCACATCTTCTATTAGAAGTTCTGATTCTGCATCTGACTTTCCTGGAAACCGGATCTTCATGTCCTTGAGAACAAATAAGGTCTGACTTGTTAGATCATCTTCTTGTTCTTTCGTTTTCAGTTGCCGCAAAGACTCACTCTTAAAGTTGAAAGAATACAGATAGTTGGAGGGGGCCTAATTTCATTGTGCCAGTATAATCTGAAAGATATTTCTAGGTAAAAAATGATGCACTTTAAATAGAAAAACCAAGGAGAAAATAATTTCTCACACACTCTTAGCACTAAATGGATATAAATACCAAAGGTGTCTTTTGCATTGGTTGCATTTTGTTTCACTCAAAATATGAATATGAAAATAGGAGTCTTTAAAAAGGACTTCTTATCACTCTCATTTGCAACATGTATCAAGGCTACATTTGGGGGAAAAAAAAGATCTATCAATGTTACAAAATAAAGCTCATTCACTTATTTAAGTCTATCTAAAGGTACTTGATTGCAAAAATAAATACATTGACTTCTCAATTCTAAAGTTCTGGAACTTATGCTCAACTGGGGCTACTTTAATAGGCAGAAAATATCACAAACAACTACGAGTCATAAGGAGAATTTATCAATGCTTTTAGCCAATTATCAGTTGGCCCATTTAGGTACAACTTTGTATGCAACAAATTTTCCCAAATTACAGACTATACACTATAAAACCACACACTTACTCATATGATTTTCAACAGTATTATATCCTATTGCATCCGCAAATAATGTTATCAGTGCTATCCTTGAGTCTGTGATATGGTAAAGTTGCCTTTTTAAGAGTTCACAATAAATTCCAGCATAAACTAGCTGAATAACTCAGATTCCAGGAACCTGAGTTGAACTACAGAAAGGATCTGAGGTCTTCCTCTCAGTGAATATCCTTTTGCCAGAATTCTGGATCTGAGGTCAATGCCTTCTTACATCTTGAAAGAGCAAAATAGGTAACTTACCGACTGTGAACTGGTAGACACCATGTCACTACTGTGAGGCAGAGGTCTCACATAGGAAGAAGCACGGCTTAAGGAATGCGACCGAGATGCTGAAGTTGGTCGTGACATTGATACCACCTGTTGAGCAGAAAGGGGGCGAGTATCCCCACTGGAAGATGAGTGAGTAGAGATGGACCGAGGGCAGCTGACTGAACGCCTCATGGTACCTATTGATGAGGGTGAAGAGGGGAGGAGGTATGTTAGTAGTGTTAGTAGACATCTTCCCTCTCCTGGGACGAAATAAACTCAAGATTGGCCCAGGTGGCAGTTTAAGTTGCAATCAATCTCAAAGCACAGACATCACTGTGGAATTCATTCTTCAGTTTAAACAGTGAACCTGAAGTAGAACCCCTCTGGTATATAAAGAATGGCTATTATGGGAATAAAAATATAAGCATTACTTTAATGTCATGACATAAAACAATAGTAACAGAACATTTTCTATAAGCCAGGCATCATACTAGGCACTGCACTTTTTTTCTTAATCTTCACGGAAACTCTGAAGTAGGGTCTCAGTCACCCAGCTCAGAGAAAGAACTTTCACAAGGTCACACAGTTTGATTGTGACCACACTCAGGTTTACATCTTTGCCTATCTAATTCCAATAGCTTCCCTCTTCAATAACACTGTATGCATCTACTGTCCTTGGGTCTCGACTGGTCATTTATTTGACCATGCAACTGGAGACTGAATGTTTTACAGCAAGATTCACGGGAAGGACAAGAAAGAGTGAGTGGCCAAGGTTAATAGGTTATAGAATTTAGGGCCCATGAGAGGGGAAAAGCTAAAACCAGAAAGAAATACATAAAGATGATTCTACTGGACTTCAAATACATATTTGATTATTAAAATGGTAGCACTAGTCTTCTGATTCACAAAAGTAAATACCAAAAAAATGAATGAATACAGATTAAATATCAGAAGCAAATGATAAAGGGGAAAAAATTTTTGAAGGATAATTGCCATAACAAATATCTTACGAAAGCCATAAGTATATCCTCTCCAATGCATAAAAGAACATTTAAGATAAGCAACTCCTCTAATAAATTGTGACGCCTAACTAAAGTAGTTCGCTGTTACCATTTTTCCTCACTTTTTAAAGCTCCATTATTCTACTTATCCTATGTTCTATATTCTCTCTCTGATTGGGGTCTATGTAAATCTTCCTTAAATAATTTAATAAGACTCACATGATGTCAGGCTGAATACCCAAATATTTCTCTTCATAAGCTGTTAAAGAAAATTTAAATCTTTTTTATAAAAGCAATGGACAAGAAGCTGTGTATTTAAGGACTGTATTTCTAAAGGGTATTTTGAGTAAATGATAAAGACAATACCAATAAAAGATAAAGATAATACTACTCATTTAGATCCAGAAGATATAACGCAGTACACTACACTTGTACAAGCTATAGATGTTTAATTTTAAAGAATTTTTTTTTAAAAAACTTTGTTTCCATGACTCCTTCCAAACCGTGCCTTACCTCAAACCATCTTTCAACAGTGCATTGCAACCAGAGAAGGGATATATGAAGGACATACCTCAGGTCAGGTAGTATGTTCTTGTTGGTTTTTACAAAGAATCACTTTTTTTTTTCATATGTACAGAGGTCAACCTTCTGCTATGAAAATACCCACTAATTGTTTGCTAACCACACTGCAGTCCAGGTCCCCTCAAGGGCTTCATGTGGCAGGTTGAATGGGTATTTTCTGAGCAAAGTGCAGAAGAAAATGTCTTTTCTCTTGAGTCCTCAAGATTCCCATTTTATTGACTTTATTTATAGGGAATTCAGACAGAAAAACTAGTTTGCTAGGTCAAGTGATTGTTACTTCTGTCTGAAATTGTTTTATACCATTTTTATATGAGTACTTGATATTAAACCAAAATATATCCTTTGGAAACTATAACAAGTTTGGAGAATGGGGAGAGACTGACTGAAGAGGTAACTAATCAAGAGGCATTGTACTCATAAACTGATATATTAAATTGAAACTCTTTTGTAATACTATTTAAAGATAACAAAACTTTTCGAAGAAACTATAGTGAGTTCAAATTTCTCATATTAACTATCTACAAAAACAAATATTAAAACAATTTAGATTTTGTCCTTGGTTCATCACTTTAGAAACAAAACTCAAGGAAAATTTGTAACTTTAACAATTTAAGCGTGAGATTAAAGAGAAAATGTAAAGCAAAATGAAATCCTTGTTATAATTCCTAATGAATACAAAAGAAACTAATAAGGGAAAATGATATGTAATTGAATTAGACTAGCTTTAAAATGAAAATTCATATTTAAAAAACATTTTAAAATCTCTATCCTATTTAGTATATTGCTATCTAATCTCAATTTGTTAACTTATTTGCCTGAGAACAAAGAAAATCTCATAGCTACAAAAACTCTTGAATTTATTTTTCTATTTGTTCCCTAACCTTCATCAGTTCATACAATTAAAGCATAGTCACATTAACTAGTAGGAAAGAGATGTTTTTTAAAGCGGGGAAAATTTCAGCAGGAAAATGTCAGCCTTCATAATAGAAATAGAGCAACATTTAACCAGTGACACACTGAAAGTACTTAGGAATCCCTAAGGGAAAATAAAGGAGTAAAATGGGTGACAAACTCGAACAGGTATTCAGCAAGCAAATAATAAAATGGAACATAAATTATTTCCCCTCCAAATAGAAATAGGAGCACATATTTTTATGGAATAAAATTATAAGCAAAAGGAAGGCTATTTCTTGAAGTTTTCGTCTATTAGTTCTGCATTCTCCATGTGTTTTGTCATAAGCATGGAAGGCCAGTCATAAAACACACACTTTACCAAGAAAGCTAATGTTATCAGACCATTCCTGGAGATCAACAAAGGCTTATAACTGTGTTTACTTCCTTGCTGAACTGGCTCCTATAGTGGAACCCTAAGACATTCGGCAGAAGGCAAAGGGTAGTAATGAAAAATAGTCATATTATCAGACACAAAGTTGTGGATTCTGCGTGAGGAGTTTTCCAAGTGGATCTAGGCAAACACCAATACCCCATTGGACATTTGGGAGTGAAAAAGAACCATGAGTAAAATAACATACCTTTGGGATTATTAAGAGGGAGAATGTGAAAAAAATGAAAATAGTAGACAAATTGAAGCAGGAAGAGATGGAAAACATGATTGTCTGCTCTCCTATACTTCAAAAGTCCTAACTTAAATGTTACCTGTGATACAAATGGGAGAGAAAAAACCAACTATTTTGTAATTGTGTGGGTCAGAGATACATTCAAACCAAATGCTTAGAGAGATGGACACATTTTACAAAAGAAAATAGATGGTAGCATTACACAAAGTAAGGGTCAGGCCAGTAGAAAGAGGGAATGGCTTGAGACAGTGACTTAAAAGACAATGAAATCAGCAGATGAGTCAAAGGCCCATTTCAAAAAAAAATCCTTGTATCAGTCTAGCACTTACCAAAAAGTGTAAAAGAGGGAAGGATGTATCTTTCATCCAACTCTCTCATTTTCTATTTGCAGTAGCAGAAAGGGATTAAAGGATAGGCCCAGGTCTGGTTAGGGAAGGACATAGGGTAGAATCCAGGTCTCCTTACACACGACAACAAGGGTTCAATTTGGCACAAGGTGTTTTTACTGAGTTCAAGAATTTCATTTCATGCATCAAGTAAATTAGAAGAGATTGACTTACTGGATTGTTGAATTAATCTGCAGTGGTTAGAGAGCTTAAAACTGTACGAAACTTGGTTTTCTCTTTTCTTTTCTTGATACTCTTCTTTTTCATTCTCATCTGATTCTGAAAAGCTGTTGCTGCTGTCATAACTGCTGTCACTGCTACAGTACTTCTGTCTTTTCATGATCTCAGTGCTCTCTGGCATTGAACACAAGGGCTAAGAGAGATGCATGTGTTATTTTGTTAGGATTCAAAAAAACGTTATCACCATGAAGAGTTGCTATTTTTAATTTCTCCCTAGTGCTTGCTTCTTTTCACTGAAGGCTGAAACCACCCCCCCCCCACCACACACACACACACACACACACACACACACACACACACACACACACACACACTACTGCAGTAATGGCTTCTCAGACAGAGCATCCACTAATGGTAATGGTTCCAAAGAAGATGCTTTCTTAAATAATATAACTAGGGCATAAGGAAGAAATACTGTTTTACTACATGACAGTAATAAAGAACCACAGCATCCATAAACAAAGACTTAACAAAAATCAAGGAGAAATACCAAATATGAAAAACACAGGCCTGATCAGCTTTTCTTCATTTCACATAGAAATTACCTATTAAGATTCACTCAATAAATGTGAAGGGGAGGAGGAAAAGAAATGGGATGGACAGAGAGAATAAGAAAGCAACAGCCACTGCAGCCAGTATAAATAAGATCGCACCTTAAAGCAGAGCCTTCCAGACTGTCCATTTAGATCCAGTGCAACCAACAGAGAGGCACTCCTCATGTGAATAGTTCACTGTGGTATGAAGCTACTTACTTATTCTTGATGCTGATAATTGAACTTGGTGGTATACACATGCTAATCAGGTAGTCTAGCACTAAGCTACACTTATCTCCTGCTGTTGATGTTTATAAGAATAAAATTTGCAGTTTATTATCTGCTTTCCAAATTGGTTATGGACAAATCCTGTCTTTTTAAAGGCTTCCTGACTTTGACACATTAAGTGTGGGCAGAATGGACTAACATGTTCTCTTCATTGCCAGCTCTATAATGTTAACAAACTGATACAAGAGGAAAGCCAGTATGGTATGATTCCTTGGAGGACAGACACACACATAGAAGGGTAAATCTTCAACAATTCAAAATTCAAGGTATTATATTCCAGTATCTCTACCAGAATCACTTCCTTCCAGTCTCCCAATTGATGTTTCCAGAGATGCCAGCTGAAGGAAGAGAAAAGAAGGGGGATGGGACTGCCTCATTTCAGAAAGTGAAAACCGGCCAGTTTTGTAATCCAGTCACTTTAAATAAGACTATTTGTTACACACACCAGATGCTTCCAACTCCTGGTGGGGGAAGTTCCTGCAGTTGTATACCAGAGATTTGTTCTCTGTTAAATCAAACAAAACTGTTTTGATGTTAGCATACACTTAATGAAATCCTTTGGGTACCATGGGATTTCACTGAAAGAAGGTATATCCTCCAGTGTAACAATGTAGGATGAATGATATAGAGAGAAATAACATTTCAAGAAGTGCCTAGCATACATAGCAAGTCCAACCGTGATCGTCTTAAAGGTACAGCCTTTGCAAAGGATAAAATAGAACCAACTCAGGAATACACTACGGTACCAGCTTGTATTTGCACAGATGTTCACCTTTTGATGATCTAATATTTAGGGAGCACCAACAATGTTCAAAGAGATATGCATAAAAACTTTATCAGTAAAACCATCATCAAACATTTTGATAGTCTAGAGGCCCTAGAGGAAGGATGTTTCTTCAGAAGTTTAACAGAGTGAGAAGAAATGATGGTACAATCAGCCTCACTAGGAGTGCCTTCCTTCTGCAAGCAAATAAATTTAAGTTTTCTTAAGGAGCTTGACATATGCAGTGAGTTATTCAACCTTGTAAAGAATCATATGGAATTTAGAGAGCTGAACCTCTGGGGACTATGCATTGGGGACTTTCTGATAAATAAATTAGAAGTCACAGCAGTACCCTAACTATATAGTAGAACTGAAAACTGATATTAGCTTATGGGATAACCATGTTACTAATTTTCATGTCCAACTTAATTATAAAATCAGTTATATATAAAATGTAGATAGATATATACAAATAAAACAAATACACATGTACATACCACAGGTCAAGAAAAATAACTTTCTTTGAGAACATTGTAAGTCACTTAAGTTATTCTAATATCAAAGCGCATTTCTGTTGTTTACATGTTGTCAAAATAATAAACTATAATAAACTATGATTTTGAAATTTAAAAGGTAAATTGTATTTGTATGACTATTAATTGAATTGGGTCTCCAAATAATTACTTAAATGGTTTCTTAATAATGAGTCAGGATACCATTAAGACCCTTGCACATCCATGTTCATTGTTTCACTATTCAAAATAGCCAATTGTAAAAACAGCCCAGATGAGTAACTTACACAATGGAATTTTACACAGGCATTAGAAAGAATAACATTATGTCACCTGCAGGGAAATGGATGGACCTAGAACAAATCATGTTAAGTGAAGTAAGCCAGGCTTGGAGTGACAAATGTTTCCTCTCCTATGTGAAAGCTAAATCTAAAATATACAGGGTCTGGATAAATTGTACAGTACTCTAGGCATTCACACACAGTGAGACCAAAGGAAGATACTCTTAGGGGAAGAACACAAAGGTTCAATGCCTATGTTTATCTGATCATACAAAATAATGTAAGCAAGAGGTTTTGTTCTTTGTTGTGGTTTTTGTTTTCTTTTCTTTTTGTCTGGTTTGTTTATCTACTCTTGGGTGGGGGAGGGTAATGGAGGGCACAGAAATGGAGGGACAAATGGTGAACAAATGAAGCAGGGGTCCTCAGGAGACACTATTTTTAACATGAACTATACAACTTATGTGGGGGCACGGGGTGAACTGGGAGAGAGACTGAGGGAAGGGGTGACAGTTTCCAAAAAGAAATGTACTCCTTACTTCATTGATGTAACTGTAACCACTCTGTACATCACCTGTATAATATCATCCCTCTAAAACAGAAGTTTCATTTTGAAGCTTGACTCACTTCAAATCGTTAAGGTTAAAAGATATAAAAATGTTGTTACTTTAATTGGGCACTTCAGCCACTTTAAAAACTGCTGGATTTAACGACAAGAACTATCCAATTCACTTCAACAAATACATTGTTAATTCTTTCTACTTGCCTAGAATGAAAAGGGTTGAAACTACAAACAATGTGAATTTGGCCCTCCATCAGGATGCCTTTTGTTATATGACAAGTGTTTTATATATGAGTTAAACAAAAGAAAAGGTAAGATGCCCAGGGGAACTTGCATTTGCCACATTCCGCCATGAACAGGGTCCCCAGGTATCACATATTGGACTTGTCAAGTTGCAATCTTTCATAGACAAAGCTTAGAAATCCCTCAGTGTCTCACAACATGAAGTCCTGACCCATGAACTTATTCACTCTTGCAAATAGCCTGAATGCATTTTTTCAAAGAAATTATCAATTACATATTCCAGAGAGCAGTGCCTGACATCAAAGGTCTCCCAGACACATATTGCTCATTAGGTTTCCCTTGTATCATTCTATCTTCCAATAACCTTCCACTTGAATCACACACAATGTAAAAATCTTTGTTTACACAACTCTCAATGGAGTATCACCTCCCTTAGTCTGTGCCTTCAATGTTCTTCTACTCCATTGTACTATTAAATGTGTACAGCACTTCTAATTTTTCAAGCTCCAGTTCTAAAGCCAATGCCTTTATAAAGTCATCCATACTGACTATAGCATCTCCTATTCTTCCTAGCTGCAGCAATTCACTCTTTCAGGGCCTGCCACATGATATCCTGATTTCAGGCTTATCTTTCTAAGTGCTCTTCTACTAGATAATGTAGAATTATTACAGACACATTCAGCAAATTTAACTAATGGATGTTGAGTGCTTGTTCATCTAACACAACTTCATACCACCTCTGACAAATAACTACTTGTAAATTCACAACTGCTCTGTGTTCAAGCGCTATTTTATGGGGGAAAGATTCAAGTCGAACTGGACCCACAAGGAAAGGCTTCACAGATATAGCAAAGGTATAGCTAGATGAGGAAGGGGTTAGTAATCAACAACCTAACAAATCAAGTATTGTTTGAAGCAGGCAGGTATTTCAGAGGCAAAGATATGCATGAGGGCATGACCACTCAGGATGGCCTAAAGACGTTAAAGACGGGGAGATGATTCCATAAGGCTAAAGTGTAAAATAGGAAGAATGAGATGAAAAAGTTCCCAATGTGTCTCTCACTGAAAACCTTCCTTTTTCACTAGTGAGGACTTTGACATATATCAGAAGAGCACATGGATTTCATTATCCCAGAGCAGATACAAGTGAAGCAAATACCTTCTTGGTTTAGCATGCATAAAAGGCTCTTAATTATTTTTCCTGGGAAGAAAAAAAAAATTATTTTTCCCATTTTAACTAACCCACTACCAGTGTTTCTGTGTCAACAAAAAGATGAGGCTCCTTTTCAATGAGTCTGAGTCCTTAAGTCTGATCACTGTCTCTAGTTGAAAAACTTGACATGAAGCTTAAAATGATGGTATTAGTTGTAGGTCCCTCTTAGAATGACTCAGAGACTATCACTTACATGAGGAAAATACTAAAAACTGAAGGATACTAAGAAAAGAACATTTCTTCTGAGTATAAGACAGTGTCATCTTTACAATTCTACCTGTGCTGGACACATGGTGCCTTCAGTTCCTCAACAGCAGCATGACTCCTAGAAGGCCAATATCGGGGGGAGCCAAGCGTACCTAGCAGGGTGCACTGATTCTAAGGAAAGAAGTGATACTGCACCTTTGGTCCTCGAGGCCTAATCGCTCTTCCCGTCAACTTTTCATCATCAATTTCACACTGCTCGAGAAGATCCAGAATATCTTCCTCCTTCGAAAAATATGTTAAGACTATAATCTCTGAGAGATTCCAAAGCTATGAATACTTATGAAATATTATATAGATAGCCCTAACACTAACCTGTGAGAAAATAAATAAACCAGGCACTGGTGGCTCACGCCTGTAATCCTAGCTACTCAGGAAGCTGAGATCTGAGGATCCAGGTTCAAAGCCAGCCTAGGCAGGCTTTCTTATCTCCAATAAACTACTCAGAAAAAGCTGGAAGTGGTTCTGTGTCTCAAATGGTAGAGCACTAGCCTTGAGCACAAAGAGGCTCAGGAACAGTGCCCAGGCCCTGGGTCCAATCCCCAGAACTGGCAAAAACAGGGAGGGAGAGGAGAGGAGAGGAGAAGAGAGGAGAGGAGAGGAAAGGAGAAGAGAGGAGCGGAGAGGAGAGGAGAGGGGAAGGGAGGAGAGGGGAGGGAGAGGGGAGGAGAGGGGAGGAGAGTAGAGAGGAAGAGAGGAGAGGAGAGAAGAGGAGAGGGGAGGGGAGGGGAGGGGAGAAGAGGAGAGGGGAGGGGAGGGGAGGGGAGAAGAGGAGAGGAGAGGGGAAGGGAAGGGAGGAGGGGAGGAGAGGAGGGGAGGGGAGAAGAGAGGAGAGGAGAAGAGAGGAGAAGAGAGGAAAGGAGAAGAGAGGAGAGGAGAGGAGAGGAGAGGAGAGGGGAAGGGAGGAGAGGGGAGGGAGAGGGGAGGGGAGGGGAGGAGAGTAGAGAGGAAGAGAGGAGAGGAGAGAAGAGGAGAGAGGAGGGGAGGGGAGGGGAGGAGAGGAGAGGGGAGGGGAGGGGAGGGAGGAGAGCTCTTGCTTGCAGTCCTAGATACTCAGGAGATTGAGATCTGGGGATGACAGTTCAAAGGCACCTTGGGCAGGAAATCTGCAAGACTCATCTCCAACAAAGTATCAAAAAAGGTGGAAGTGGAGCTATGGCTAAACTGACAGAGGACTAGCCTTAAGCAAAAAAAGCTCAAGGACCGCACCAGGCACTGAGTTCAAATTCCAGGAACTGCATAAATAAATAAATAAATAATCATAACAAATTCTCTTAAAACTTCTACTAAAATCTGACCATATAAATAATACATGGCTGAAATATAGTTCACATTACTTCTTAAGCACAAATGAATCCTTTTGTTTCAGAATCTACTTAAATTTTAGAATAAAATACATTAATAAGTTATCTTATTAAACTCAAAAATTTTCAGAAGCTCTAATTTTCTAGACTAAATTCTCATCCACTCCTATCTTAATTAATGCAAAATATTAAACCTCACCCTAAAAACTGATAATTGACCTACATGGTTCATTTAGAAACAATCTAATGTTAGAATCTGGTTAACAGGAACTACTTAATGAAACTCTCTAAAAACTGTAATTACTGAATTGCTTTATGAAAGAGTTTCTTTCTATAGCTATCAATGGTCGAACATATACAAACTCTGCTGGCACCCTTCTCTTGGTATCTTCTACAATCATCTTGACATCAGAGGAAAATTTAAAAAGAAAACAAAACTCCAAGGGATGCAAACCAGAGCAAAAGTTGTACAGAAACATCCATAACCACTGTTGCACAGTTATTCAGCCTATAAAAATATCTGAACATTATTTATATATTTATAACTTGTATTTCAACATCTCCTTTAAAAGGGACAGAGCCCAGGCTTTTAAGTAGTTCTGTTTCTATTTAGATAAAAGAGCACAACAGACAATGTTTTCATCCTAACAACTAGAAAAAAAAAAAAACATATAAACTAAGCAACACATATTTTAAAACAGAAAGCTGTATCTAGAAATCATATAAAGGAACTTTATTGCAGAGAGGGAGCAGGTTCTTTCCAAGTGAGCAGAGATGAGTAGCCACTTCTACTGTGGAATCCTTTGTCAAGTCAGGACAGAGGTAGGCAGGTCTACCATAGGCAAAGAATTTCTGTTGGGTTAAAGAAAATCCTCTTGAAATGTTCCCTTTTAGAACCCTGAAATATTCTAGTAAGAGATCTGGCTACTTTGCTACCATACCATAGAAAGAGAAAAATACACTCAACTCCAGGGTGTTCCGAACATCCTATTGGATCTCCTCAGACATAAGAGTTAAGCCATAGTGGCATTCTAGGCCCAGTAGAGTACAAAGGCCTCTGCAGTTCATATATGACTCATTCCAAGAAAAACCAGCAGAAGACCCAAGCAAGCAACTGTGGCCAGCAAGACAACATGAAGTGGTGTGTTATAGTGCATCAGAGACACCTTTCATTAAAGTAAGGAAAAAAGAGAAAGGAGGGGGAGGGGTATTTAATTACCACCCACTCTTATATACCACTATGTCAGGTCTATATGGTATAAAGGAAAAACCACTTCACAATCTTTGTTAGAATCGAAATTAAAAAACGCACAAAACATTAACTCATTGGATTTCTCTATCCTGTGCCATGTACCAATCTATGTAAGAAGGTGTGTTATTATAATGATATTATAATATGAATCTCTCTGCTCACAACTTGTCTGATTAGTATCTTATTTAGAAAGTCATTTGATTTCTTACGAAATCTTACCAATTGTTCAAATGGAAATCTGGAAGCATTTTTACATGCAAGACTGGGGTGAGTTGTTTTTAAAGACATACAATTTGGCTTTTTTTTTCTTTCAGTGTATAAACACTTTTTTTTCTTACCTTCATCTTTTTCAAAGGATTATTTAGCTCTCGTTGGAATGAAGCTGCTCTTCCTGAAAGAAAGGTCTGAAAGGCAACAGCTAACAAATTTTCATACTTTTCAAGTAATGTTTTATCTTCAGGAGGATAAATTCGTCTACAATAAAATCAGATAAACCCATTTGTATAAAAGACAAGAATCCAATGTATATCCTACAAAACTAAAAACAGTGAGAGAAGGGATAGGTAGGGGAGGGATTGGGTGGGAATTCTGAAAGAGCTGACATTGACCAAGATATATTGTATTTGTGAACTGCTTTGCTAAGTGGCAACTCCTTTGTACAGCTACTTAAAGATAATTTAAAAGTTTTAAGACTAAATAAATAAAACTAACAAAAGGGGGGGGGGAATGGGAAGCTCTCATAGTTCAATAGTTAAGATCAGCTGTTTACATAACCATTGCCCTCTGCTTTGTTCTATTACTAGGGGCTAGAAATGGAGACAGGCAGCTATGAGAAGTTCATCAATTTTCCATTGTTACATAAATTATGGGTTATCTAGAAAGCATCATTAAACAGCATAGTTACAAAAGATCCAGTATAAGGGTTTGGTTGTGGGAAAGTTGTGAAAGCCAATTGATATAGGTGATAAGCAAGAAGGGTTAAGTTCTATTTTGGTGTGGTTATTGAAGGACCCAAGCAGACAGCAGTAGTCTTGATGATTTCTGTTTGGGGTAACTGAATGAGAACAGGGTGGGACAAGGTGAAAGGCATGTGTTCTTCTCATTACTTTGTAGGAGTTAAAGGCAGGAAAGTAATTCTTTTTCCTTCACTCACCTTTCCAAATCCTGGTGAGGCAATGTTAAAGCTTAAGGATCAAAACAAGCTCCCCTAAATCACAAGGCACTTAGGGATGTCCTTTTGATTGTATCAAGGGTAATCTTATGAGGGGTTCCAGTCAACACAGTCTACAACCCTGGCTACTCTTTCTAACTGGCTCTTTCACATATTTCTCTTATTTTCCTGGTTCCTGAGTATTTGGATTTAAAACAAAGTACAGCAACCACTACACATTGGCAGAAAGAGTGTTACAAAATGTTACTTTCTTAAAATGCCACATAACCAATAACCAATTATATTCACAGAAGAGCAGTAGTTTAAAAAATCTGAGAGGCACCCCAGAATCTAGAAGGCAGGAGCTGTCTCTCATATCAGAACCATCTGCCTGCTGACCACCTTTTCTTTCCTGAAAGATCTTAAACAGGAAGTTCTCTCTCTCCAGGTGAAAGAACAGTGCTCAAAATACGATTTTAAAATGAAAGAACGGTTTCTAAAAGGATGAAAAATACTGAATGATTTCTCTGTCTCTCAATTTTTTCCATCTAAATAAAAATGGTAGCATAGTTACCTGTAATTCCCCATGTGTCGATTTTCATGTTCTTCTCGGGAGACCTGCTTTCGTACTTGAGCGAGTCTCTCTTTCTAGAAATGAAGACATTTTTACAAATTAAACCCATGAGTCATGCAAATCAAAATGAGTGTACTTTGTTTAAATGTTCACACCAGGCTGCGGATATAGCTGAGTGGTAAGAGCACTAGCGTGCACTAGCATGCATGAGGCCCTCAATTTGATTCTCAGTACTGAATGTACATGTGCAAAGCACACATGTGTACACACACACACATATACATATATACATGCATACATACATACATACATACATACAATACAGTGCTCATACCAATTCTTCTTTCCGCCTCTCCAACTGGTGTCTCTGATACTCCCAGTCAGAAGAACCAGGTAAGGGCTTTCTTATTGAGTTCTGACCATATAGCCTCTTTTGAGCCTCAGCTTTTTGCTTGGCCAAGTTTCTCCTTTTATCACTGGTCCTAAAATTCAAAACACAAGACCACATTTTAGAGTCAAAAAACACACTTATTAGTCCTATAAGAAGAACTGGCAGAAGAAGCAATATAGTAAAGATTGAAATCAAAGTTTATAAAATGTATTATTAATCCAACTTTGGTCTTGAAGAATTAGATGGGCCTAGTTTCAAAATCCATCCTAGAAACTTAGTAGCTCTGTAATCTAAGATGGGTCAATTAAATGCTGAATGTTTCTCATCTACAAAATGCTCAAAATAATGCTATTTCCCTCCCAAAAGTCTTTTAAAGATCAATTTAGGTAATTAAGAAATGTGTTTCTCTTCTCCATCTTCAACAAATCATTTACCTATAGGCACTCTCATTTATATTGACCACTTGTAGTATATTTTCAGTTAGGACAGAAATCCCAAGCCTGAGCCATCATTGGCTTGAAAAGAGTGTGCACAGACCTCTTTCTATTTTCTCAATCATAAAAATTTCATTACAACTCCGATTTGTACATAAGTCTTATTGTGGGATTTTTTTAAATGTAAATAGTGTTTCTCTCTCTTCCCTCCCATGTAACTAGAACAGTAATTATGAGGTCCTCTGTGCCTTTCCACCTCATACTCACTCTTACAAGCCACAATGAAGGCTCTATCAGATACAGCATGGGACCCTGAAGAAAAGGAAAAGAAAATCCAATTCTTCCCTCAGCTATTTAGTACCAGACGTGGATGTAAAACAAAGAGAAGCAGGTAAGAAGGCCAAATGACCAGCTTCTACAGCAGAAAGATATAAAGAGGTGCTACGTTGATATAAAACCTCATTCAATTAATCATAAAAGATCATACAAAATATAAGGCCATAGCCCTAGACATTAAAAGAACCAGCTTGAATCAATCTATGGACTACCTTTTCAAAACTCCAACTTACAAACATGCTAGGAAACGAAACTGTTCTCTTTCACGATATCATTGAAGCTGCTGTGGCAGAATAGGAGATGGAAGCAGGAAAGAAGTTAATAAATAGTCAAAAGACACATGAGATCTTAAATTTGGAGAGAAGAATTAAATGACAGTCATAGATCTGACAGAATACAGTTAGTTACAATAAAGGAAAGAGTGAAGAAGAGCTCCCAGATTTCTACCCTGGACCCTCATATAAAGATGGTTTGGGCAGTAACAATGCAAACAAAATATGAAGAACTAGTTTGAGATGCTAGAGAGAGGAATTTTGTTTATTTTGGGATATTCAATTCTAAAGAATACAGTCTTCTTAAAAATGCCATATATATATATATATATATTATATATATATATATATTATATATATATATATGGGATAAATTTAGCCTCTGTGAGGTGGAGATATGTGATATCACAAGCAATTAAAAAGCCAAAAACCAATAACCCAGCAGGAGGAACATCACTGAACAAGAACACAATTCAACTTTGGTTATGTTGAATTTAATAGCCATCAGAACATTCATCCATTCATTGTTATTTATTTTCTTGCTCAATATAAGTTTACTGAGTTTTTTGAGCAGCTACAGGACCAGAAACATCCTGTATACATGGTTAGCAGAAAACTGACAATTCAAAGACAAGAGCTCCAGACTGGGTCAAAGCTAGCAAATGGCACCCCAATCTATCTATACTTCAATAGCATTCTGTAGAATACAAACTCTATCATCATACCTACAAATGATACAACACACACACATACACACTCTCTCTCTCTCTCTCCCTTCTTTCTCTCTCTCTCTCTCTCTCTGAATGAAACTAACATGAAAGAAAAGAGAGTTGAGGCAAGAAATCAATGGAGAAAAATGAGACAAAGAAGGTGTTAGAAGAAATACAGAGGTGTGCTCAAAGTGAAGTGAAACTCCCACTGGTGTCATAGGAATCCAGAGAACAAATATTTAAGTCCAGCCTATTATTAAACACTTCAAGTTTGTATCCCATGAATTCGTTCTTTTTTGAACTCTGGGCCTGTGTGCCTCAGCTCTTTAGCTCAAGGCTAGCGCTCTACCACTTGAGCTACAGCGCCACTTCTGGTTTTCTGGTGGTTTATTGGAGATAAGACTTTCACGGACTTTTTGCCCAGGCTGGCTTTGAACGGCAATCCTCAGATCTCAGCCTCCTGAGTAGCTAGGATTACAGGCATGAGCACCTGGCTCAGGAATCAGTTCTAAATAAGGAATAAATAATTCATTTACATTTAATCTGATTAATGAGCATTTAAGACATGGGATTTATGGTACTGTGATTTTTCTTCTAGATTCTATTTTAATGAGCATAATAGAAATAGGAATAGGACTCTTCTTACCAACCCAGGAACACTAACACAACAGAAAATGTATTGGCTAATTGTTCTGATTATAGGCACGCTCATAGTTTGTTATCTCTAAAGATTCCAAGGCTAATGTCTAAAAAAAATTCTGAATCAGAGCCAGGCACCAATAGCTAATGCTAATGCTTATAATCCTAGCTATGTGGGATACCGAGATTGGCAAGAGGCCAGTCCACATAGAAAAGTTAACAAGCTACCTTCTCAAATCAGAGCTGAGCCCTGTGGTGTGTGCTTGTTATCTGGGCTATAACAAGAAGCCTAACACAGATCATACCCAGCCATGAAGAGAATAAGAATCTATCTCAAAAAAAAAATGTATAGGGCATGGCTCAGTGGCAACTGAGCCACCTAGCAAGTGTGAGTACTCTGACAGAGTGAATACCACTACCACCAAAAATTTTAAAAGAAAAGAAAATTCTGAATCTAAGCTGAGCCACTGTGCTCACAGCAGCCATGACAAGTTATCCTGAGCAATAATACACTTTTCTAAAGTCATACACCTAAGCATATGTTTGTAAATGAACTTTGGGTATTTATGGAGCCATATGCTAAGTACTATGCTAAAGGTATGAGGAGAACTGCAAAACATACACTCTAACTTCAAGGAGCTTAAATCACAAGGAAAAGTCAGCCCTGCCCAGAGCATAAGAGAGCAAGCAAAGTGGTACACTATAAAGTAGACTATAAATCTTTCTAAAGTTCAAGAAAAGGAAAGATTAATTTGGGTTAAAAGGAAGATTTCATTAAAAAGATCTGGTATGCATACAGTAAGAGAAGGCATTCTGGATAGGCAATAGAATAAATCATCAGTAGGAAGAAGTAATCATGTTATGTGAAAAAAAATGAGATAATCAGCCAAACTAAAATAGTTGAAGAGGGGCTGGGAAGGTGGCTCAGTGGTAGAGTGCTTGCCTTGCATGCATGAGGCCCTGGGTTCGATTCCTCAGCACCACATAAGCAAAAAGAAAAAAGCCAGAAGTGGCGTTATGACTCAAGTGGTAGAGCGCTAGCCTTGAGCTGAAGAGCTGAGGCACAGCGCCCAGGCCCAGAGTTCAGGCCCCACGACCGGACCCAAAAAAAAAAATAAGTAAATAAAATAAAATAGTTGAAGAATAAAGGAAATAAGATAGAAGAGTCATGATTACATTATACTATGGAAAGACCTTAGACCAAATGTTGGCAAGAAAAATAAAAATATAGAAATACAATGAAAAAAATAATTCCAAGCCATCTGACTAAAATAAACACAGAGAAGCTTTATGGAATCACAGAAAAAAAATCTTCCAACATTAAAGTGATCCATATGAGGATTAGTCCTATATTATTTGATAAATACACAAAAATTTTGCCAGTGTTCCCCATTCCTGTTTATGTTGCTGCTGTATGGTCAGCACAGACCCAGCTACAGAGAAACAAATCCAACATACCTGATCCACAGCCTTCCATTGGGTGGGAAACAAGGTACACCCATAATACAACCTAACCGGCAAGTGCTCTTGCTGAACTCTCTATGGAGCAACACTGAGAAAGATTCAAAAGATGAACTTCATATTTCCCTTAGTTTTGGTATTGAACAATCCAATGTGTTTATATGTATGTGTATATATATATATATATATATATATATATATAGTGTGTGTGTGTGTGTGTGTATACATAGCATATATATACTATATATACTATACCATATGTAATATAAAGGAATTGGAATGTTCAATATATATAACTATATCATAGACTATATTATATACATATTACGTATATATATTCTTGAAATGGATCAAAAAGATCCATAGATAACTTCTGAATTGGTATTATCATTTATAAAGCCAAAAATATGCCAAAGAAAACCTAAACTATGCAACAAAGATGCATAGGCCCATTGCTTAAATTATCCAAAATATTTAATGCATTTGTTTTTTTTTGTTTGTTTTTTGGGGTTTTTTTGGGGGGAGGGGTCCAGTCGTGGAGCCTGAACCTGGGCCTGGGCGCTGTCCCTCAGCTCTTCAGCTCAAGGCTAGCACTCTACCATTTGAGCCACAGCGCCACTTCTGGCTTTTTTCTTTTTTGCTTATGTGATGCTGAGGAATCAAACCCAAGGCCTCATGCACGCAAGGCAAGCGCTCTACCACTGAGCCACCTTCCCAGCCCTACTTAATGCATTTGTATATGAACCAAACTAAACTCATTTCCTTATTTTCCACTCATTTTATAACTAAGTAGAAGTAGGGTTTAGACAGGCCAGTATTTCATCAGACCAAAAAGAAACCACATTGAACATACTAAACTTGTTCATGTGTTCATCCATTTTTTAATGATGCTTTTTCACATAAAGCTACTTCTCAGTTCAGCACCTGCCCTTCTAGACTTCCTGAATGACAATCAGAATGAAGTGCAATAGGAAAACCCCAGGCCTAAATGCCTTTAGGAGTCCTTGAATCCAACACCCCACATTCTGTCCACTGTTCTTGTTGGCAGTTTGAACTCAGGGCCTTGCCCTTCCTAGGCAGGCTCTCTTCTGAGGTATCATGCCACCAGCTCTGTTCTATACCACTTAGTTTTTAAATAAGGTCTTGCTTCCTGGCAAGCTTCTGGACAGCAGTTCGCTTATTTTATACTTCTTTGTACAGGCACAGAACCCTGTTTAGCTTCTTCTGTTGAAAGGGATGCCTATAAGCGTTTCTGCCTAGGTTGGCCTTAAGCTACAATCCTCCCCATCTCAGCCTCCCACATAGTTAGGATTACAGGTGTAAGCTACCAGTGCCCAGCATTGTGCAAATCCTTACAATGACAGACAATTCACCATTTCACACAGTAATGCAGTAAACCTTATTTTATTTTTTCCATCTGATTATGTAGTCCAGACTAACCTCAAACCTTTTGATCCTCCTGATTCAACCTTTGGAATGCTGGGATTAGAGACATGTACAACCATACTGGGCTCCATTGATTTAAACATCTACCTAATTTCTTTTATAATGAGCCCAAAGCTTTTCATATGTAAAATTCATACTGATGTGCACTGCAGCTGGCCCACCACTGCACCCACCAAGCATTTCTCTCAAATGCTGTATGTGGTTTTCAGTGAGAAAACTAATCCTCACTGAACAACTAGGCGCTTCTCTTTTGTTTCCACAGTAGCATGGCATAGCGGGAAAGCCTAGGAAGGAAAAGGGAAGAATTCTGTATTTGAGATTTCCTGAAGGACTCTCAATACTCTACCTTCTTTTTTTTATTTTAAATTTTGTTTTTATTGTGAACATACTGTACAGAGGGGTTACAATTACATGGGCAAGATAATGAGTACATTTCTTATCAAGCATTGTAGCCCCCTCCTTTGTTTACCCTTCCCATCCCTTCCCATCCTCCCTCCCCCAACCACCCAGTCCTCCCCCACCCCCAAGTTATAAAGTTCGTTTTTGGCATGACAACTTGTACTTCTCATTGTTGCAACAGGTCCACCTGTATCCTCATTTAAACGACTTGTTTTTCCCCTTCCCCTCCACAAATTATACCGACATCAAATACAGTGAAAGCATGGGTTATACTGTGGGGGAGGGACATACAAAGCAACAAAGAAATAATCTTATAAATACATTAGAAACAAATGCATGAAAGAAAAAAACATTTAAAATATATATCTTAGGGTTCATTTTCCTAACATCACCTTATCTGACCTTTTCTGCTTGACTAGATATTGCAAATAAGGGAAATCCTGGGACCTATGTTTCTTTGGGCTTGGCTTACTTCACGTTATATAATTTTTTCCAAGTCTTTCCATTTCCTAACAAATGGGGCAATGTCATTCTTTCTGATGGAGGCTTACTTCATTGTTGGTGGGAGTGTAAACTTATTCAACCCCTTTGGAAAGTAGTATGGAGGTTCCTCAAAAGACTCCACATAGAACTCCCCTATGACCCAGCAGTCCCACTTTTGGGCATTTACCCAAATGTTTACAAACAAGACCACACTAAAGCTACCAGCACAACTATGTTTATTGCAGCATTATTTACCATAGCTAAGATCTGGAACCAACCCAGATGCCCCTCAGTAGATGAATGGATCAAGAAAATGTGGTATATATACACAATGGAATTCTATGCCTCCATCAGAAAGAATGACATTACTCTACCTTCTTGAATGCAAGCTAGAAACTCAAAGACGCTTCTCAGTTCAACTTCATCGTCCATGTTACATAATTACGCCACCGCTGTGACTTAAGCACATGTACCACAAGGACTTTGTGAGGGAAAGGCAGGAAAATCAACAACTAGGTGGGGTTAGCAGGCAGTCGTGGTGCACACTCATATCAGGCTGACATCTGAGGACTGCAGTTCAAAGCCAGCTTGGGCACGAAAGTCCATGAGGCTTATATTTCTAATTAACCACGAAAAAACCCAGAAGTGTAGCTGTGGCTCAAGTGGTTTAGCACTATCCTTGAGGAAACAACAACACCACCTTAGGGACAGCATCCAGGCCCCCCTGAGTTCAAACCCTGGGACTGTCACCACCCCCCCCCACACACACACAACTATATGAGTTTAAAGACAGATTGTATTATAATGGATAGTTTTTATATGGAAACCTTTATGCCAAATGAGGGTATGAGACCCAAACACTGGAGGAAGTCTGTACAGTACCTGATGTTCAGCAGTTTCAGTGCATTGAGCAACACTCCTCTTTTGACATCGTAGTCTATTTTCTGATCAGTTCCAAAACTTGGGGCTCTGTTAATCTAAAATTTGCAAAGTACACAATGAGGGTAGCCCAATGGCAGAAGGTCAATAAATATTCAACGCATGTTTGTGAATCTTCTATCAATAGTAAGCTCTATGATCAAGGTCAACATTCGACATGGTGGATGGCCCATCATCCCAGCTATACCCCCACACCCCTGCTGGCCAAGGGAATGCAGACAATGGCTTGTGAGCATCAACCCCTATGTCAATTGTCTTCAGCTGAGGATGTTCATTCACTGACAGCATTACCTGGCCATTCTCTCTTAAGCCACAATCTTGTGTAATCTAAGTTTTAGCTTAGGAAAGTTAATAGTGATTTATCTTGACAAAAAGCTGAAAGGAGAGTAATAATAATGATGATAACTGTAAACATCTATTTATGAAGCACATTGAAATACCATCACATCTTCTTGATGAATTCATCTATGGCTGCCTAGAAAAATTAACTTTCTTTCTTTCTACCTGCCTCAAACAATAATTTCTCAATTTGCATTTGGAAAGGCCCTGACTCTTGAAGGTAGCTATAGACAAACCTCAATACCATTTTCTAATGGTATAAAGATGAGTAGGAATAAATAAGCTAGATACGTGACTGTCCAGAAATTCATCAAGGTGAAAGAAATAATGGTAAATGTCTTAAAATCCATTAAAAAATAATCTACTACTTTTATTCGTCAAGGGCTGGAGTACATTACTTTTGTCTTTGTTCCCGCTGAATTTCACCATTGTTGTAGTGAGGATTAACTGACTTAGCAGGTAGTTAAGAAATTTGTTTCATTAAATCAGTTGTTTGCTAGTGAGCAATGCTACACAGCTTAGTTCCTTGACCACCCATCTACCCCCGGAGCTGTTCAATGAAAGTAAGTGCTACCAGTTGTATGTAATGATGCAAAGCCATCACGGACCATGTGAATTCCACAACTGGTACTGGAGGACCCACCGCATTGCACTTGAACCCTGTCCAGTATTACCATGTGTCTAAGTACAAAGGTGGTACAGGTTAGCAACAAAACAACAACAACAGAGAGTAAACAGGAAGAACACAACACAAAGGATCTCAAGTAACAGCACTACCTAGTGTGTTATTTAACCATTCGGTGAAGAGTATTCCAGATACTATCTATTCATACATATTCACACCATTTATGTAATCTTCTAAATGCATCACGTGCAATCCACTTTTTTTTTGAAACACAGTGAGTGTGTTCCCCCCTGAAGGGTGCACAGCAGCTCTTCCAGAGACCGTCAGATCAGATGCTCACTTCCCTGTTGGTAGCTGACTGAAGGTGATGGGCTAATTCCCTTTCTCTGATGTGCTCTCAAAGACAAAAGAGCCTGCATATGATTTGACAATACCATTATCCCAGGTGAGTTTGAGAAACAGAGTTTATGATTCCATTACTTCAAAGCTCTAAGCATTTCCTCTCACAAGTTCAGAGAAAGGGGAAAGTAATAAATTTATTTCCTATGAAAAAGCTAAACGCTTCTACCAGATGAATTCAAATCTCTGACGAATTCAAATCTCTGGAATTTATGAGACAATTAACGATAGTGCTGGTGCCTCATAGAATAAGATTATAAAACAATATTGACAACTGGGTGCTAGTGATTCATACCTGTAATCCTAGCTACTCCAGAGGCTGAGATCTGAGGATCATGGTTCAAAAGCCAGTCTGGGGAAGAAGGTTTGTGATTCTTATCTCCAATTAAGCACCAAAAAGCCAGAAGTAGAGCTGTGGCTCAAAGTGGTAGAGCGCTAGCCTTGTGTACAAAAGCTCAGGGACAGTGCCCAGACCCTGAGGAAGTCAACCCTCCCCCTGCGCTTGCATCAGCACAAAATAACAATAATAATGGTAATAATAGTAATCAGCTTATAAAGAAGTTAAATTAGTAAATACTACTAACATTCCAAAGCTGTTTTCTTTTCAGAACAAGGTCAGTCATTTCATGTACATACCAAGGCCTCTGCAGCGGTCCATGCTCTTCCTCTGCCCAACAGCAATCCTCTGACCTTCATCCTAGTTTTTCACAGTCCCCAATCTGTGCCCCAATGCTATAGCCTTCAAAACTCAACTCCAGTGTTGTTGCAAGGACATTTGTGAAGCTTTAGTACACACAGTTACACAGAGAGGTGAATCATTTTATTGTTGATCCTGTGTCCCTAATTATAACTATTTCTATCAAAAAGAATAAAACCACCCGAGTCATTAGACCAGAGTATTTGATCTGATTCGTCTTATATCCCCACACCTAGTACAATGACTAGTAAGTAACTTAGTGAGTAACTTTTTAACTTACGAGTACTTAAAGTTTTAAAAGCATACTCATACTCAACAAAATTTTTCATTCCACAAATTATGTTCTATGCTTGAAAAGTTCTTCAGTTTTTCCACTCCTAACATTACTTGAAATTATTCTAATTTGCTAAAACTCTGCAGGTGTACTGGCACACACCTGTAATTCCTGGCATAGTCAGGACAGGCAGAAGGATCATGAGTTCTAGGCCAGACTTGCTACATGGCCAAGCCAGACCAAAAAAAAAAGAGGCTTTTCACATTCTCAGAAGCACCTTCTATTTTTTTCCACTTGGTGGCGCCAAAAGGTTTTTAATGATGTATATGAGCAGTGCCACTTCAATTTCTGCTGGAAGCAAAATGCAAAGCAAGATCTAAAAATGGTTCATTTAACTCCTTCAATATACTAAATGTTCATTATACACAGGTTTTGATGACTGCAGAGTTTTTAATGAGTCTGTGGAATGATGGAGAGGATAAAAGATGGAAGAAACAGAGTACTTTGAGCCTTTAAAAAACATTAAGCAATTCAGCCAGTCAATTCCGATTTAGCAATCTAATGGAGAGCTTTGGTGAGGGAAATGCTTTTTTAAAAGAAAACTAAAATATTTATAAAGCCATTATCCCTCTAATGATTTCAGACTCTCCTCCTCATGTGCATGCCTTCATCTCTCCTCCCCATCAGGATGAAGGACAAGTAGCAGGGGCTGGAAGAAAACACAGCTAAGGGTAGGAAAAGACTACTGCAGACAAAGCAGTTCATCTAAAGAGGAAAACTGCAGGCCTTAAGAAGATGAAGTTTCCATAGATCTTTTGTATCCAGGGGATGTGGAAGCAAAAGATAGGCAAACCTACTCAGGTGTCATACTCCTGGGATTAAGGATAGACAAAAAAAAAAAAAAAGAAAGAAAGAACAACTAGCAGGGCATTCTGTTTCTTAAGAAATATAACACACTATTAACTCATAGGTGAGTAAATAAGCACACACACATACACACACACACACACACACACACACACACACATAATCTATCTTATCCTGATCTCACCTATCATTTATTCAACTTGACTATACTATACTATACTATACAACTTCCCATTTCAAAATCACTAACAGATCATCAATTTAAAATGAAAGTCAATTGCTGTTATATCTTGTATAGCAATAGCAATATTTTCCTTTAAAAGCAGTGAATTCTGGTGGATCATGCCTGTAATCCTAGCTACTCAATAGTCGAGATCTGATGATCACAGATAGAAGCCAACCAGGGCAGGAGAGTCCATGAGACTCTTTACTCCCTTAAAGCACAGAACTGGTGCTATGGCTCAAGTGGTAGAATGCTAGACTTGAGCAAAGAAGCTCAGGGACAGTGCCCAGGGAATAAGCTCAAGCCCCAAGACTGGCAAGAGAGAAAGAGAGACAGACAGACAGACAGACAGACAGACAGACAGACAGAGACAGAGACAGAGACAGGGAGACAGAGAGAGAAGGAGGGAGGGAGAGAGAGAAGAGTAAGAAAAGAAAGAAAGAAAGAAAGAAAGAAAGAAAGAAAGAAAGAAAGAAAGAAAGAAAGAAAGAAAGAAAGAAAGAAAGAAAGAGAAAGAAGGAAAGAAAATTCTGTCAACGTTGTTGGGATATGTGCATTTTGTGCTAATTGCCTAAACATAGTATTTCAATGGCTATGAGAAGACAGGTCAGATCAGGGAGTTGAAAGCAAATTGCTGTATGGAGTTTGGCTAAACAAGAAAACTTCTAAGGTTCATTATAGGTAATAGAAATATAGGTATGAACAACAAAAATCCTATACAAAGCTAATTTTTTCCTCCTTTACATTAATTTTTATTTTCTAAATGCTGTTATGTGACCTATAACCAAAAAAAATATTATGAGCACTTATTTGTCCAAGGGTGATTAACAAACCTAAAGGCAGTACAGACTAGACATGAGAGAGGGCCAGACAAGCACTAAGAGAATCTATGCCACTTGGGGTACTGAGCACTGAACACTGACTAATAAACAAATTGGAGTCCTTTCCCCCTGGGAAGTTTCAAGGGAGAAGGGAGCCTTCACAGGGAGCCCAGGCCTTCACAGGGAGGAAAAATAATATCTAGAGCTCACCAATTGGTAGAAGCCATAAGGTAGAGAGCACAAAGCAAGCAAGTAGCTACTCAGTAAAAGCAAACCCACATTTATACTCTATCTTTGGGCTAGAAATTCACTAAATGCTCATTTTTTTAAATTGTGAAAATACCATACAGAGGGGTTACAATTACATGGGCAAGGTAATGAGTACATTTCTTATCACGCATTGCTGCTTCCTCCTTTGTTTCCCCTTACCATCCCTGCCCTCCCATCTACCCCCCCCCTCCCGCCATCCTGCACCTCCTCCTATGCCAAAGTTGTAAAGTTCATTTTTCGACATGACTTCTTGTACATCTCATTGTTCAATGGGTTCACCTGTATCCCTATTTTAAAAAGTTGTTTTTTCCCTCCCTAAATGCTAATTTTAGAAAAGTACTATCACTCATTTTTAACTTCCCTAATCTAAAACTTTGAGCATGCAAGGTCCTGGGTCTGAGAGAGTGGCCAGGTAACGCTATCAGTGCACATGAGCACTCATGACTTTGGCTGTGGTAGGAGATGGTGTTCTCAGGAAGTGCTCTGCAGTTCCATCACCCCCACCCCTAGGGTCATGATAGAATGTTTCTTTCAGAAGGAGAAGTAGGAATAGAATGATGAGGGATAATTATTGAAGAGAAATTCTTTTTTATTTCCTTTATTGTTATTTTAGAGAATCCTTAGACCTATTCTAGCCACTGAGTCTTCATTGTGTTCCTCCTGTATACCATATTTAGGCTCCATTCTTGTCAGTAAATGGGATAATAAAAAAAAAAAAATGAGCCTGGTACTGATGGCTCATGCCTGTCATCCTAGCTACTCAGGAGACTGAAGTCAGAGGATCATAGTTCAAAGCCAGCTGGGTAGGAAAGTCTGTGAGACTCTTAGCTCCAATTAATCACCAAAAACCAGAAGCAGAGCTGTGGCTCAAGTGGTAGAACTTTTACAGCTCAGGGATAGCATCCAGGCACTGAGTTCGAACCCAGGGCCATGGGGATAAACCCACACATGCATTTGTTTTACTACATAAGGTATGTTGATGTACCTAACAGAACCCCAGATGCAATCCAACTATACCAAAGACAGAGATGGGAGACTCATGGTCTGAGGGCAAGTCCTAGTAAAAGCCTGAGATGCTATGTGAAAAATGACTAAAGCCAAAAGAGAGTGGCTCAAATGGCAGAGCATCTGACTAGCAGGCAAGAAGCTCTGAATTCAATCCCCCTCTCCCCCTACCCAAAGAAAGAACTGTCATAACCTCTTCTTTCCTAAAGAAAGAATACTTTACCTCCAGAAGCCATGGCTTTAGTTTTCTATCCAGCAAAATATCAAATCCCAGCACTTCAAAGCAGACGCTTTCGCTTCCTGGAGGCTGGCCAGGTCTGCACATTCGATATGCATGCAGGACGTGAGGTTCTGCCACAATCAGAGTCTTTACCACCAATTCCTACGAAGACCGCAATAAAGAGAGAAGATGCCTTACCTGCACATATACAAACATGATCTGGCCTGCAAAGTACCACATAGGCCAGAATAAGTGAGTTCAGGGGCACCCAGCCCCTATCCCTGCTCTGACTTCATTTCCTCTCTCCTGCTCCCTACTGTCCTCCAGACACACTGCTTTCCTTTGAGTGTTTCAGTTCCTCTTACCTTAGATCCTTTGTACTAGCTGTCCCCTCTTCCTGGAAAACCATTTCCATTATACTCAATGTCTGGCTTACTGACACTCAGGGGAAGCATTCCCTGATCTCCATTTAAAAGTAGCCATACATCTTTGCTACTGCATTACCACATACTGTGTATATACTGATTGTCAGGGGATGCTAAGCACTTACTGATCCGGTTAGGGACCTTTCCTAGCATACCCAGCATGCTCCAGCACAGGAGACCTAGGCACTCCTCACTTGGCTGATAACCTAAAGACCTTTGGGTTTAAAAGTAAGGTTAAAAAATGATGAACTAGCAAACGGATAACTAAATGATGCTGAGTCTTTTCTGATTCTTTCAATTTAGAGAGAGCTATGTCTAATCAATTCTAACTTTTCATGGTTTTATTTCTTATCTGTCCCCCAAAGAAAGATGAATTGAATTATATAGCCTTAATAACATTAAGCATGTTCAGTAGACATACTCTTCTAGCCTTGTGTTCTATTTAGCACTTCTGCTGGACTCCTTTTTTTCTTCTGATAAAGGATCTGGTCTGCCAAGAGTATCTTCGTATCTGTTTGCTTTTCTTTCATCCTCACCATTTGGAATCTCGTCTACCACCAGGGATTTGATGATCAGCTACATCTCAGATATGCACTTTAAACCTTTGCTTACCCTCTACCTATGACAGCATTTCAAGTTCAACATATCTAAAGTATAACTCATTAGCATAGTTTCATGGGCTTTAAACACCTCAGCTGCTGCCCTGGGCACTAGAGGCTCACACTTGTAATTCCAGCTACTCAGGAGACTAAGATCTAAGCATGTGTTTCAAAGCCAATCTGAGCCAGAAAGTCTATGAGATCATTATCTCCAATTAATCATCCAAAAAAAGATAGAGGTGAAACTGTGGCCTCAAGAAGTAGAGAGGCAGTCTTGAATGAAAGAGCTAAGCAAGAGCTTCCAAGTTCAAGACTCAGGACAAGCATGCACACACACACACACACACACACACACACACACACACACACACACACACACACACTTCAGCTGTCAGTGCCCTCCTTCCAAAAATACTTCTTAAACCTATTATACAGCCCCACAGACCAGTACATGCCTCTTGTTGTATTTACATTCTGTGAATGACTTGTGTGCATTTTTCCCTTTTAGTCTGCACACTTTTTGGGTATTGGAACTTTGTCTTATATGATATGAATTTGAACTACCAACCAGATATAAGCTTATGTTGTTTACTGAATGAATGCCTGAATTAAAGAATTAAAATAGTTTCTTTCCTTCATATGCAAACCCAAGCTCTGTATCTTCTTAAATAATTTCTTTCCGCATTGTATCAGCTCCTGCCATACCTGCTCTCCCTGCAACTCTTCCTGAAAATCACATTTAATCATTTAATCCATGTTAATGTCATCCTCACCTCGTTTTTCTGCAGGTTTCTTTCAGACCATTCTTTTCACTTCATTTGTCTTCATGTGTCTTTAGTGTATGTTTAATCAGCCTTGCACCCACTTGTAAGTTTGTCTTTTAGATGCATGACTCTTTTTGGGCTCATATAACTACTACTACTCCCCACTGTCTACCAAGTTTGGCCTAAAATTTAGCCCAACACATCTTCTCAGCAGTTATTTCCTGCAAACCTCCAACAAACCACACATGACACTATGCACCACCTCTCACAAACCCTCACCAATGTTCACACCACTATGCCTTGACTGCACTTTGTTCACACTTAGATTCTGTCTCTCCCGCCACTACTGGCAAAATCCCACTTGTCAAGATCTGCTTAAAAATGCTCTTTATCTGCCCAGTGTAATCTATTCTTTAAAATTCTTGGTGGTGTTTTAAATTAATGCTGAGGCAAGATGATTACTGTGGAATAATCTTACTGAAATATCACTCCAAAATTTAGTAACATCATGTTGATTTGCTTGTAGGAATTCTGTAAACCATTTGATGGAACGTTTGCTGCCTTTGTCTTCTGTTTCATCTCGCTCAAAATGCTCATTATGCTTATTCACGGAGTAGTTTGTCAGATGCATGTATAACTGGGTCTGTAACAAATGAGAATCAAAGTCATTACCCTCTATGAGATTCTTCAAATCTGTAGTCTCACAGGAAAAGAAGGAATTCAAAGACCAAAAACAACTTTAAAGCTAAAATTATACAGATTGCTGGAATCAGTGGCTCATGACTGTAATCCTAACTACTCAAGAGGCTGAGATCTGAGAATCATACTTGGAAGCCAGACTGGACAGGAAAGCCCATGAGACTCTTATCTCCAAATCACAAAAAATCCAAAAGTGGAGCTTTGGCTCAAGTGGTAGAGTGTAAGCCTTAAGCAAAAAAATGCTCAGGGACATCACCTAGGCCCTGAGTTCAAGCCACAGGACTGGCTCAAAAAAATACTTATACAGCTGGGCGCCAGTGGCTCATGCCTATAAGCCTAGCTACTCAGGAGGCTGAAATCTGAAGATTGCAGTTCAAAGCCAGCTCGGGCAGGAAAGTCTGTGAGACTCTTATCTCTAATTAACCACCAGAAAATCGGAAGTGGCACTGTGGCTCAAGTGGTAGAGCACGCACCTTGAGCTGAAGAGCTCAGGGACAGTGCCCAGGCCTAGAGTTCAAGCCCCACGACCAACAACAACAACAAAAATAATAATGTACAGACTGATAATTTCATAGTTATTTAAGTAATAGTCAAGTAAAAGAATGACACATTTCCTTTGAAGTCCTGAGGATGTAATAACTTAAAAGTTGTGTGTGTGTGTGTGTGTGTGTGTGTGTGTGTGTGTGTGTGTGTGTGTGTGTTCCTCACAATATTATCTTCCAGAACACTGTATCAGATAAATAGAATAGAAGATATCAAGTTAAAATGTGAAAGTACACAGAGCACTTGCCCAGTATGCTTGAGGCCCTGTATTCAAATGCTGGCACCTCAACAACAACAAAAAAGAAAAACATGAACCTACATATTGCTAAACAAGAGCAATGCTCTTAAGTCATTTTGATGTTATTATTTGCCTTTATCATTTGCACTCAAATTTGAGGAAATAAGTTTTCTGAGAAATATTCTTTTCAAGAAAAAGTGGAAGGAAGGGAGGAAGGAAGGAAGGAAGGAAGGGAGGGAGGGAGGGAAGAAAGGAGGAAAGAATAGGGAAGGAGGGAGGGAATGGAGGAAAAGAAAATTCAAGCAAGCAGCAGAGAGAAAGAGAGAGAGAGGGAGGGAGGGAGGGAGGGAGGGAACTACCAAATCTTCCTGTACCGACTCCTCCCCTCCTGTACTGACTGGGTCACACTATTTTTCATTACCAAGACAGTACAATTAAGCTTCCACCCACAGAACACACCTCAAGGTGCTATACAGATGTCTAAATGATTAACATCGATGTACTGAGCTCCCATATTGGTATCTTTGGTTCTAATCTTTTCTAAATCCTGATTTCTTTAGTATGAAAATTTATTGATAAACAAACTTGAAAGAAAATCCAAGATTTAAAAGTTCTCATAAAGATTATACATCTAATGGTTCCTTATCAAACTACATGAAGCTTCTTTATTGACTCTGTCTTTAATTCTTCCCTCTTCAGATTCCCACTCCCAAAGAGTGCTCTGAATATATAATTACTATTTTACTATTTTGATTTCTTAATCATCAGTTATAACCATGTCCTATTTTATTTTCAGTGTAGTTTGTTAGGGCGTTGATATTAAGATCTTTGAAATAAAATAGGCAGAAATATCACTTGTGCTACATGTAGATTACTGATACATGTGCAAACTAAGTAAAATTTTGATGTCTTTCATTCATTAATTGATATTTTAGGAGCATCCACAAAACATCTATGAATCTCATAGCACCTTGCAAAGGTAAAACTGACTGTATGCTACCCTGTTTGCCAGTCTTTAGGCTTGTTACTAAATTGGTTTTTACTCAAAAACTTTTGAAGAACTAAATAAATGACCACTACATGGTAGCACTACGTGGTAACAGGAAAAGTGAGTGTCTAATATATTTGAACATTTATAGGTCTCTCTCTTATTCTCATTATATAGAGGCTCTAGATACTTAATTCTGACATAAATATTTAAGTCATTCCAAATATGCATGCTGTTTTTAAATTCTAAAATTAAAAAAGACAGATACCAAGCAGGAGTCTGCTATCCAAAAAGAACCAATACAACCATTATGCTTTATGTTTTTTCCAAGACCTTTTTTTCATAAACTTACCTTACACATCACTGTGGTCTCATTTTACATAATTTTTTATTTCACTTTTTAAAAATCACAAAATTGTTAAGATGGTTAGAGATTGCATAGGAGAGCAGCAGAGTAGAATACTATGCATGTGAAAACCAAAGCCAAAAACTTAAGAGCAAGTGGAAATCACATTTCCCTTCTCTTCATTTCTCATTCTGACTTCCAAATCCATCGTACTTAAGCAAATTATATACACATAGCTTAGTATGTAAGAACAAAGCACTTTACTACAAAAAAAAGAATCCTTCCCAGCCTTCCCATGTTCAATACCATCTAAAGATAAATACTGCCTTCTATATAATCCATTTTTATCCACTTCAATTATTTTAATCCCAATAAGATAACTAATCTCAAATTCTGTCTATAGTTCCCATATTCCTTTATCCCATCCCATTGCCCAGGCCTAACACTAAGTTTACTCTTGATTTCCCTCTTTCTCGTTTTTATTCCACAAATCCAACCTGTCACCATACAATACAAATGCTATCCATATTATCCTAAATGTACCTGAAATCTATGTTCATATTTTTAGTCCAGCTCCAACTGCTCTTTTTTCTAAGTATCTCTTCCGTTCATATGTGATTTGACTAAAACAGTTTCTTGTCTCTTGTACTCCATGCTTCCCCTACCCATCTCCATCTCAGATTCCCCACAACTGCACATCAGGTGACTTTGAAAACTCACATCCCATTCCTTCTCTGCTTAGTTTAAGACCTTTCAAAGCTTCATCTTAAGCTAAATTCCAAAATCCTGGATGTGGCCATCAAAATCTTCAATAATCTAGTTTTATAACCTACCATTCTCATCTCTGAACAGGCATCTCTTTTCACCTGCACTTTAGCCAACCTGAACTCGTCTGATCTTTTGACTCCAATACACTCTTATGCCCGGAGCTCCACCACACTCTGCCCTGCTCCCCCCGAAACCTGGCCAGCTCCTCATTACTCAGCCTTCAATTGACACACTTCCCTCCCTGCCCTTTTCTCCAGCTGGGTGAAGTACCCTGCTGGTACTACCATAACATGACCTATTTGTTAGGACTTCATTCTTACTATTATGTATTGTACTCATCTATAAAACTTTCTGCCTTCCCATGACACTGCTGCTTCTGTGAGATCAAGTACTATATCTGGCTCAGTCAGTGTCTTCCCCAAAATGACACAATGCCTACAACATAATAGAGTCCAAACATTACTTGGTTATTGATATAAACACATCTTATAACCATTAATTAAATATTTATTCCTTTTCATATCCTTTCCTATAAAAACTTCTCATTTTTTCTTTGCTAGGTCTACAATATTGCAATGTTAACACTTGGCTACATTTCAAGTTAAAAATATTACCATTCTTAAGCCAGGTGCTAGTGGCTCATTCCTGTAATCTTAGTTACTCAAGAGGCTAAGATCTGAGGATAACTGTTTGAAGCCAGTCCAGGCAAGAAAGTCTGTGAGACTCTTTTTCATGGTGGTGGTGGTGGTGGTCGTGGTCATGGGGCTTGAATTCAGGGCCTGGGCACTGCCCCTGAGCTCTGAGCTCTTTTTCTCAAGGCTAGCATTCTACCGCCTTAAACTACAGCTCCACATGTGGTTTGACAGAAGTTAATTGGGAACAGAAAAGTTTTACAGACTTTTCCCAGGCTGGCTTTGAACCATGATCTTCACTGAGTAGTTAGGAGTACAGGCATGAGCCACCAGTACACAGCTCAATACCCTTATCGCCAATAAACTACTCCAAAAAAAAAAAGGAGAAAGTGGAGCCATGGTTCAAGTGATAAAGTGCTAGCCTTAAAAAGAAAAACCACAGGGACAGTGCCTCCTTGAGTTCAAGCCTAGGACCAGCACACACAAAAATATTACCATTCTTAATGATGGTAGGTCTATACATATTGAGGAAGAATAATAACCAGTAATTTCTCAAACTGTGAAGCAATAAACTAATTTTAAATAGTTAATAAATCATAATTTGACTTCCTTAAGTTATAAATTATAGTTGATGATTTTCATGATAAGCTACACTTAGAACTTTCATGAAATATGATGATTGTAACAAAGAAAAATGAGTAGGAAAATACCTACAAATTTCTCTCCTTGCTGATTTTATGATGCACACTGAAACTGTTCATTTGTGTCTTGATTTCACATTTGTCAGTGTAAATTTTACAACTCTCTCTTTTGTTCTAAAAAAATGATTAACTACTGTCTGATAACTTTTGCTCTTTCCTCTCACATTCTACATGTTCACATCCTACTTTTTACACAAAGCCCAATCAAATGTCACCCTCCCCCCCCCCCCCGAAGGCACTGAACAAACTTCATTGCAGTTTACTGTTACTTCTCAGTCGCATATTGTTTATGTTTCTACTAGAGTCATTTCTGCAGAGGACTTCTGCATATAGAGATGTGTACTCTGAAATCCGGACTGTGCTCACAGCACTCAAAAGTACCCACAGAGAGGAAACTTATTTCTAATTAATTGCCTAGATCACACAACTTTCTTTTCCATGTTGCCCAAAGTTGTCTGTAAGTTAAAGCAATCTTGCTTATGTGCATTAGTCTTCTAGACCATATACTCCTAAGAAGGAAATCTGATTGAAATACTCTCTATATGTAATAAACATTTTCCAAACTATTTATTGGGAAAATGAATGGAAGTGTAAGTTCTCCCTAATATCACTTACCAAATTGGACTCATTTGGTGGGATGTACTTCTCTGTTCCCATTCGCACAAGTCCATCATGATAGAGAAAGACTTTCAGTGGATCACATGATGTTACCAGAATATAAATTCGTAAATCAAACTTGTAACCCTCCATGAGGAAAGGCTTTTCAATATATTCTTGGACAATTAAATGATCCTGAGATGGAAGTTTGTCACCATTTCTTATCAAAGAAATCCTAAGTTCATGGGAAAAAAGGGAAAAATAATATGATATGGAGGCAAGACGTACCAAATGTTATCTACATACTCAAGGAGGAAACAATAGTACAGGAAACTCCAAAACTGGGTACTCCACAAAAGCAACAAATGGGGGGAAAGTCGCGATCAACTCTTGGAGGTGATGGTCTGAATACAAGCTTGCAACATTCAAGTAACTGAATCAAGAACCAATAACAAAAACTATATATCGGCATAAAAGAGCTCTATGGCATTTTAATTTCTTCTAGTTAAGAGTTCATCAATGGAGTTGAGCAATATCCTAGACTCCCAGCACAGATGCCTGGTTATGGAGTGTGCTGAATGGATCTTTGTCTGATGTTTCTCTATTTTGACCTGTTTAGGGTTCCTGGGCAAGTCAAAAGGCTTGTTTTAAATCTGCCTATCTCAGATCTGCACTAGCACTGAAGTGACTGTGAGGACTATTTTTAAAATATATTTAAAGGCAAATATATTAGTCCCCGTTGTATAGGGCAACAAATATCACTTGGAACAAATAACACAGAAATGATGGAAATCTTTAGGATTTTGAAAAGCTCTGACATTTCTGAGAATCAAGAAGGCAATGTATATGTCAAAAACCTATAAAAATTCAGGATAGACATGAGAAGGACCTAAGCTCTTGTCTCTTGGCTAAACATCAGACTTCACAATCTAAGGTGGAGTTGCAAACAGTCTGTCAGAAGATTGAGGGCATGCTTTCATAAGCACATGTGCAAAGACTGGCATCCCTCAAGTTTTTTTTTAATTCCAGTATTTAAGGACACTTCTGTTTATTTACTAGCTGATTATTGAACTAGAAAAATGGAAACTTAACTGGTCACTAAACAAAATATGGGCACTACAATGAACAGCAACAACAAAAAACCATGTAGAGGGATGGAATGTGACTTCCAGTCTTCATATATGATAACATTCAAAACAACCAGATTATACTCAAAACATATGAAGAATGGAAAGACAAAAATATAGCTCATATACAAAGATTTAAAAAAAACAGAACACCAAAGCCTTGACAATTAGCTTACTAGATAAATGTTTAATAACTATTTGAAAAATTATACCAAATGCTCAAGGAAACTATTTACAGAAAAAGGGAAATCATAAAACCAATGCCTCACTAAAAATCCGATTTTTGTCTTAACAAAAATTCTATGGTTGAAAAGTATAGTAACTTTAATGAAGAGTCATTAATAGGGCTATAAGATATGTTCATAAATATAAAAAGAAGCCAGGTGCCTAATGCCCATAATTCTAGCTACTAAGAAGACTGAGATCTGAGGGTTGCAGTTTGAAGCCAGCCCAGCAGAAAGTCCATGAGACTCTTATCTATAATTAACCACTACAAAACCGGAAGTGGCACTGTGGTCCTGAGTTCAAGTCCTATAACTGAGAGAGAGGGGGGAGAGGGAGAGAGAGAGAGAGAGAGAGGGAAGGAGGGAGGGAGGGAGGGAAATAGGAAGGAAGGAAGGAAGGAAGGAAGGAAATTTAAAACTTGAAGATATACTAATTGAGATTATCTAGACTGAGGAGCTGAAACAAAAAAATCAATCAGATAAACTACATAGAGCCTAAGGAAGCCTGTGTGAGGAGGTATCTATAAGCATACCAATATCCACATAATGGCAATCTATGAGGAAGAGAGAGAGAAAGACTCTAAAGAATATTTGAAGAAATAATGACAGAAAATGTTCCAGTGTAGTGAAAATATAAATTGTCTACAATATCCAAGAAGCTCTATTAACTTCTAGTGGGATAAACGCAAAGAAATCCACACCAAGGCAAATTATAATCAAACTGTTAAAAGAACACCAGAAAAACAACTGCATAGGCAAATATAAGTCACTATTAGTAGACTTCAGTGTGTAATACCTCATTTTCCTTATAGTTTAAAAGACAACTATATAAAGTAATCATTACAAATCTATGCTAGTTAGCATGACTTACAGAGATATAATTTGCAGCCTCAACAATAAAAAGGGATAGAGCTATGTAGGAACAAAAAACTATATTTTATCAAAATGAAATTTGATACTAATGCAAAAGATTATTATAAATTATGATGATATATAATTTCAGGATCACCACTTAGAAAACTCAGAAATAAAAGAAATGACAGGGAATTTAAGTGGTACACAAGAAGAGAGCTACTTATTTAACAGAAAGCTGTAATGGATAAATCAAAGAACTGAAAGTATATAAAACACAGAGAAAATATAGTAAAAGGTAGAGTGTAGCCCCTTTTTCCATAATTACAATAAATTAAAAATTTTTAGGGCAAGATTTGACAGGATGGATTTTTTTAATATAGTCAACTATAGGTGGTCTACAAAAGATTTGCTTAGAGACCAAGATCGAAACAAGTTGAAAGTGAAAGGCTAGAAAAGAAACTGAATGTCCACAATCACATGGATTAGCTAGTACTAGACAAAATAGACTCTAATACATTGTTACAAAAAACAAGGCATGATATTATACAGTGATAGTGATTTTAGCTAAGTATAACTATGCCACAATATTGTGAAATTTATGCAGTCATGTAATCTCAATAAAGAAATATTTTGGGGGAAAAAGAAATGTCCATGCATGCAGAACATATAGCAATTATAAATATATGTGCACTTAACAACAGAGCTCCAACATGCATCAAACAAAAACTTACAGAAGTGAAGGGAGAAAATGTAGAACAATGATAGTGTTCTATAGTTCACTTTCAATAGCAGACAAAACAATGAGACAGAAGATTGACAAGGAAACAGATATACTCAACAGATGCTAGAAATGTCCTTTGTATTATACATGGTATTACATCATATTAAACCCAGGCAATAAGATTTATTCTATTGTCTGCTTTTCTGCTTATTTTTTAGACTGTAATCAAAATAAACTGGAAGAGTATTCTACGTTTAGCAACAAATTTAAATGCATAGAATATTAGATGTCTAACATTAAAATTGAGAAAAATATGAAATTCATTTAGCCTTCTCCAAAACATTTGTTCATACAGATATATAGGAAAGCAGTGTAATCGTAAGGAATTAACATAACATTTCCAATAACACACTTTAGTTTTAAACCACCAACTCAAGTTTTAAAATAATGTGTGATCAAATCATTACATTTTGCCTAAATGTTAAATTCTTAGAATAGTTTAGCTAGTAGCTACCATTTTTCCCATAGTATTTCATATAAAAATTAAGATGACTAGGGTGTATTTCAGCAAAAACAGCCTCTATCACACTTCCTTTTTTTTAAAAAAAAAAAGTGCACTGCAGAAAAATAAACACAAGCAAGCAAAGAGAAGCAAGAATTTTAAGTTGTACTTTCTATTCTCATCTAGCATGCTGAGCTCTTGGCACACTAAAAATGTGCCTCCCCATTTTCAATTCAGTTACCATGAGAACATGAAAAAAATATCTATAAAGCAAAGAGCACACATATTGTCCTTCCAGGCTTCTAGCTATGAGAATAAAATTCCTCTCCATTTCTTTCTCCAAAGCAACTTAGCTCTACTACAGCAACCCTTTTACTCTCCAGACTTTTTAAAATTATTGTAAATGTGTGTTTTGTGTTTATGAAGAAACCGTAAACAGCTCTTTTTCCCCCTCTGCTATTATCTCCTGTTAAATTCTAACATCTTGTTGCTTTTTATTTTTTATTTGTGTTTATTTTTGGAAGTAGTGAGGTATAAACTCAGGATTTCACAATGGCTAAGCAGGCACTCTACTGATGGAGTCACACCGCAGGACCTTCTTCCTCGGGTTACTTTTTTGAGATAAGGTCTCAGTTTTTGCTCAGGCCAGATTGGACCTCAATCCTCTTTTTACAGTTTCTGCCATAGCTGGAATGACAGGTGCACCCTACCACACCCATCTTTTTCTGTTGACCTGAACTCTCACAGTTTTCCTTGACTGGCCCTGAACCATGATCTTCTCAATCTCAATCTTTCACATAACTGGGATGAGAGGTATGTGCCACTGAGGGTAAAGCGGGGCCCACAAACTTTGTTCCCGAGCTACCTCTGAACCAACCACCATCGTCCCAATTTCTACCTCCCCAATTCCTAGGATGATAAGTGTGAGCCACTAGCACTAGGTCTAAATTTTCAGTTGAATTACTGAAGCCTATAGGGTAGGTTAGTAGAAATGAGTCTCAGTAAGGATTTAGTTCCTAAAAAACAATAATTAGAAACTTATTTTCTTACAATGAAACTCAATCATGAGTAAGTATGCACGTTTATCCTTTCCATATTGATTTTTAATATTACTGGTTATAGGGAAAAATAAACTTACCCGTGACCCATTGCACCATTAGCTGGTTTTACTATAAAAGTTTTCTGTTTCCGTTTTTTCTTCAGTTCTTTCACATAATTCTGGAATTGAGTGTATTCAGCAGGGAAAATCCATGTTCGAGGAATAAAAGTATAATCCAGAGGTCTAGTCTTGATCATTCTACAAATCACAAAGAATATAAAGGACAATTTATATTCAAACTCATAAATCTTACTTCTCTGTGCTAGCAGTACTACAGAAACTTAACATGCCTCATTCCTTCAAGTATCCATTCATTTATTGATCTACGCAACAAATACTGTCATGCATCTACTATGTACTAGTCATAGGTCTAGACACTGACATTCATCTGTGGAAAAAAATAGACAAAAACGTCTGCCCTGTTAGGTACTAATTATGTATATCAATGATTTATTTGATTATACACTGTGCTGGGCACTAATGACAGTAAAATACATTAGCATGGTAACTGATTCAATTAATGGACTGATAGGCTCTTAATTGCAAAGGAATCTGGTAAGTAGAGTCAGGATCATAGGCAAGATAGCACTGTCGCTGTCATTAACTATCTAAGGGTGTGGGCGGGGAGTAGGAATGATTCATGGCCAAAGGTCATAAATATGATTTCTGGATATCAGAGTCATCCACAGGGAGCAATTTCTGGCTCATTTTTGTGCCACTGTGTTTCAGAATCTAACTCTTTTTTTGGGAAAAACTACTTGAAAGACTGAATCAATAGCACTTTTATTTATGTGACCACCAATACATGTGACTACATGGCTCGTATCTCCTGATGTTTGTGTATTTGCTGTAAATGTAGGCTGTTTATTTAGATATACAATTCAATGAGAATACATAGTATCTTAATACTGTGAAATGTCTACTTTTGATTGCCACCAATGTTAACCATATTGCACTTATCAATTCCCAATAAAAAATAAGAAAATTATGAGATATTTTTAAATATTGCCTCTTCAAAAGAAGACTTTTTGAAATGTATGCAAGTCAGAAGTGGTTCAAGTGATAGAGCACTAGTCTTGAGTAAAATAAACAGTGCCCAGGCCCTGAGTTCAAGCCTCAGAACTGGCAATAAGCAAACAAAAACACAGGTCTTTTATGTTTTTTTGTTTTTTGGGGGGGGGGGTCCGGTCATGGGGCCTGAACTCTGGGCCTGGGCGCTGTCCCTCAGCTCTTTAGCTCAAGGCTAGCGCTCTACCACTTGAGCCACAGCGCTACTTCTGGCTTTTTTCTTTTTTCTTTTCTTTTTTTTTTTTTTTTTTTGCTTATGTGGTGCTGAGGAATCTAACCCAGGGCCTCAGGTATGCAAGGAAAGCGCTCCACCACTGAGCCACCTTCCCAGAACCACAGGTCTTTTATGAATGAGCAGATATAGTCATCAGATTGGGGAAAAAAAATTTTAATGGGTATCCTAAGCTACACACTGGTGGCTCATGCCTGTAATCCTAGCTACTCAGGAGGCTGAGATCTGAGGATCGCAGTTCAAAGCCAGCGGGGGAAGGAAAGTCTGTGACACTCTTATCTCCAGTTAACCACCAGAAAACCAGAAGTGGTGCTGTGGCTCAAGCGGTAGAGCACTGGCCTTGAGCTGAAACGCCCAGGCCCAGAGTTCAAGCCCCATGACTGACCAAAAAAAAACAAAAAAAAGGTATCCTATAATCCTATATGCACAGAAGGAGAGCCTAAACTCTAACAGTAGAGAATACATCAACCATTTCAATAGCACAACTGGTGATTGATATAGTTATAATTCAAGTATTTTCACAAAGAGAATCCTACAAAAATGTAAGTATGTTGCAGAAGGAAACAATTACCAAGCCTAGCTATTTAATCCATTTTAAACCCACAAACTAATCTCAATACCAAATAGAATAATATTGACTAGCTTAAAAATTAAATACCAAAGACATCAAAATAAAGCACAGTATCAGTGCTAATGTTCTGTTTTGGTTTCCTACACACTTTTAAGTGTTTTTGTTATATTTAAGAATGATAGGAAATTAGATAAAGTTACACTTTTAATTAGAAAAATGTCCTTTAAACCTAACCATATGACAGGAGGGAAACTGGGAGAGCAAAATGTCTGAAATGTACTCATTACCTGACTTATGAAAACTAACCCATCTGTAATTTTAAAGTACTAATCATGTGGTGTTTATGTGGTATCATTATTTCACAGATATATTTTTTTTAACTTAAAGCACATACACATTCAAATGAAATACCTTACTCAACAGGGGTAAACTACCTCAAAAGAAACATACAGACTTTCTTAGGAATTTGGAAATCTGGGATAATTTCCACTCTGTCAGGGATTGACTCAGTAATATTAGACAAGTGGTTAACTCTATCTTTATAGTACTAGGCCATTACTTTTTAATCTAACAGAAACTCTTCTACCTTAAGGAGAGTTTGAAGGACCCTGGAATGGGAACTCGCCTGTTTGTAAAAGCCTACTAAAAGGTTCACCCTTACCTCTCTCAACCATGAAAACTATTGTTCTCTTCTCTACAGAGCATAAGAATGATCTTTCCAAATTACCAACAAGCCCAGTCTCCTCACCCTCACCTCCCCTATGTCATGCAAGATGAAGACAGTAATTCTGAACACTATCGCCCTTCAGCTAAACTCCTATCTCTGTGCCCCAGCTGCACTGGGCATTATTTCAGCATCATGATTATTCATGCTTTCTCCCTCCACATGACTTTGGCTCATGTTATCCTTCCTCCCTGGATGCTTCTTACTAACCATCTGCACTTTTAAACTCTATCTACCTTTCATCTATCACTTTCCTTATCTTGTCCTCAGGGCAACTCTCCCACACCTCCCTAATTAGGTCACAATAGCTCTCGTACACCAAGTTTAGAGCTCTGTGCCTCTACTTTAGCACTTAGAAAAGCTGCAGTTGGATAGTATGGAAATCATGTCTGTTTAATTAATTTATGTACCCAGAGGCTGGCACTGGGCCGGTATACAATAGATGTGTGGTAAATATGTGTTCTATGATGAAAGAAACTAACTACTCAGGCCCCAAACTTTCCTTTGAATCCCACTCTTGTAATCCCGATGGTCTTACAACCCACAGAATGTCATCCTGAAGACCTCTCCTCATAGCAGTCTTCTCCTTCTATCAGTTCTGTCTCTAATACTTTTCAATTTCAGCTGGCAGCATGGCTCAAGTGGTAGAGCACCTGTCTGATAAATACAAGGCTCTGAGTTCAAAGCTAGCACAAAAAGAAAAAAGAAAAACCCTTCTATTTATTCTCTCTTCCCCATTACCATTCTCTTGTGGATTATTAGATACTTCTATTTCTTACCTAGATATTGACAGTCATCTCCTTATAAAGTTTTCTCTCTGTGTCCCAACTACATTGAATTCATTATCTACAGTCCCACCATTACTAAAACTATTTCTCTGCTTAAATTCATTTAATAACTTATTTTTCTCAGAAAAAAATTATTTAAATGTTGAGGGGATGAAGAGATGAATGAGTGAGTGATGACATAAAATACAATGGCATACCTGGCTGGATCTTTGCATACACACCCAGAATTGTATGAGGCAGAGCCCCTCCACATCCTACATAGCCAGACAACCACTATAAGGGTCCTCAAAAATCATGCTGGCTGAAGCATCCATATGGTCTCTCTTGCCTCTGCTTGTCATCTTCTTATCTTCTCCTCAGGGTTCCATTTTGAATTCTAAGCTAGGAAGCCTACTCCAAGCTTCTCCAATCTGAGTCATTATCCTTGTCAGCACTACTGCCCAAACACAGCATCACCAAATCTTTTCTGCCTTGTACTTTTGTGGTATATTAAAATTAATGATCTCTGAAACATAGACTAATAAAAAAAAAACTACTGAGTTGCTGGCCACCAATATCTCACACTTGTAATTCTAACTACTCAAGAGGTTGAGATCTAAGGATTGAGGTTCAAAACCAACTCTAAGCAGAAAAAGATGCTTATGTCCAGTTAACCAGCAAAAAGTAAGAAGTAGGGGCATGGCTCAAGAGGTAGAGAGTTAGTTATAAGCGTACAAAGCTCTTAGTTCAAGCCTAAATTCTGGTGCGTGCACGCACACGCACACACACATACTCCAATTAGTAAATAGATGCATAATGGCATTTACAGGGAAGACATTAATGTTTCTGTAATAATAAACACATTCTACTGAACTTTCTCTAGGAATAGTCCTCTATAATTTTTTTTCAAATTCTGTTTATCACTCAACATTTCAAGCTAAAAAAAAAAAAGCCAAAGCAATCTAAACATTCACAGAAACAAACACAAGGAACGAAATCTATAGTTCAGTCAACAAATCACTAGACAGATTTTTTAGTCTATAGTCTTTCTATGAAATGTCATTATTTTAATACTAACTTCAGAGATAAATATATGTGTATATGTGCATATATAGCCCTGAGTGAACACGCATACATGTGTCTGTGTGTATGAATGTGTGTACATGCACTAATATAGTGCCTGTCATATGCTGGATGTTCAATAACCAATATGAAAACACACATACACAGCATATGATGAAGCAAACTAGTTTCTGCAAGGTTTAACTGACAAAAATATCCACTAAATGCCATATAAAGATTATTCCTTGCGGGTGGGGGAGGGGGAGCGGGGAGGATTGGGTGGGGGGGCAGGGGGAGGATAGGAAGGGATGGAAGGGAAACAAAGGAGGAGGCTACAATGCTTGATAAGAAATGTACTCATTATCTTGCCCATGTAATTGTAACCCCTCTGTACAGTATTTTCACAAAAAAAAAGAATGAAAAAAAAAGACTACTCCTTGAATTTTAAAACAAAAATCTATTACCACCAAGCACCAAATGTCTCAAGCCTGTACTTCTAGCTACTCAAGAGACTGAGATCTGAGGATCATGGTTTGAAGCCAATCCAGGCAGGAGAGTCTATAAGACTCCTAGCTACAACTAACAATTAGCTTTGGGAAACAAAGGTGAGGGAGAGTACTCAGGCCCTGAGTTCAAGCCCCAGGACCAGCACCCCCAAACAAGACCTCTGTTACTAAACATATAGCATGTTGTAGTAAAAAGAGCACCAAGATTCAGAACTCTAGGACATAATTCCAGCTCTGTTGATAAGCATTTGACTTTGTAAAAGCTACTCATTTTCCTGCATCTTGTATATACATTTTTCTAATTTGGGGAGGGGAAGGGAAATAACAATGCTGAAATAAAGATATAGGTTGAACCATTGTAATAATGAGATGTACAAGACACTATGTTGGGGCGGGGTTGGGGAAGAAGTTGGGGAGGTGAGGAGGCAAGAGATGGTAGGGAAAAAACAAAGAAGGCGTAACAATGTTCGATAGGAAATGTATGCATTACCTTACTCATGTAACTGTAACCCCTCTGTACAGTATCCTTACATTATATATATATATATATATATATATATATATATATATATATATAGCTACTCATTTCTCTGACCTTCAGTTACTTTCTTTGCAAAGTACTACTAGAGCCAAGGATTGATCAGAAATTGCTGTCTAAAATGTCATTTCTTCATCTAAATACCATTTCAAATCATTGCAACATTATCAAAGGTATCTCTATAATATCCATAAAATGAATAAGAAAATGAATTACTTGGTCATATTTCTTGCTAAGAAATCCTTCCTACAGATCTCCCCCATTCCTGGAAAATGGTTGATCCTCTGAAAAAAAAGGTAAATATTAATATTCTCACTAATTCCATGAGTACATTCATTTATACCACAACAGTTAAGCCTATCTTTCAAGATTTATGTTTTAGTGAACTTGAGATCTTTTAATTAAATGGCCTATTATTAATTTGCAGAATTAAAAAATCAGTGGTATTCAGAGAACAAAACTGTAAAAAAAATTTCTAAAGAAATCAGAAAAAAGTATTAAGTGGTAAAGTTCTGGGGCCTGTGTTGGATAAACGGCAAATTATTATCAAAATAGTTTCAAGAATACTAGATTTACTGAAATCATACATATAGGCATTATAAAACAAAAAAGTAAAAAAGAATTTCCACTATTTGCCCCTGTTGGTCACTGGTGTACTAATACTCTAAACTAAGAGAAGATAGGCTGCATAAAATATAAAATTCCTTGTACTGGTTTTTTAATTTGATGTCCATCTTCTCTGTGTTACATTATATAAACAAAGGCAGACTGCATTCATGTAAACCTACACCTTGCAAAGTATTTTCACATCCTGAACTCCCTATGTAATCTATGCTATGTTACCCAAGTTTTAAGTGTGATGAAAGAAAATTTTTTCCTATCAATTCTTAACTAAAGAAAGAGGATACAAATTGAACTTGAAGAGGATGCAGGCTTCTGGCTGGGAGGCCACGTGACTGGGTATCAACAAAACAGGCTATTCAAGAAACTTAGAACTGAAATCTACTCTGTCAACAGATTGAGAACCTATTAGTTAAAAAGAAATTACAACTTGAAAAAAAACAGATCATGTAACTTTCCTTCCAGCAATAGTTGACCCCAATGAATCCCCTACCTGGTAATTTTGCAGCTCTGAAATCTTCTCCTGCTGAACAGCAGAGTCACACCATATGAGGTTACTTGTTTCATCCTCATCAGGAGTTTTCATAAAACCCATTTCATCGATGACTAAACGAACTGCAAGTACATAGTTAGGTTACATCGAAATTAAAAGGCTGAAAATATAGTCATTGTGCAAAAACTTGGAAATGTGTAAATATGAAGAGATATATTATAGTTCATGATATTTCATTTGGAAGATGCCGATTGGCTATAGCATAATCTTATTTTTCATTACAACAGTTTTATCCAAGACCCTAGCATCCTCAGTGGGAAATGACAGCTACGTTAACTTGTTCCAAAAACATCTGTAGCTTCAATTTGTTCAGATTTATCAGGTCCACAAAACCAGTAAAAAGGCACTTAATTATAGTACAGTGAAAACACACAGTTAACTAAGCCAACACCTCTACTAAGGAAAATGTACTTTCATAGGCTTTCTTATGACCAAGAGATAAGCACAAAATGGCAAAGGTAAAAATGGGCCCTGATCATTATACTTTCCACCTTCTTAGTTCAAATTATTTTGGGTACTTAACAGTCTACTCATGAAGTCCTGAGGCAGAATTCAAAGAAGAACTCTAGATATTGGCCCACCTCTGCTCTCCACAGTGTAATCATACTGTAAAGTATCATATTCAAAAAACAGCTTCCTTTTGAGTACAAACAACATGTTTATACTCTCTGATCCAGAATTCAGTTCACATATTGACATTTTTTTTCTTTCAACAAATTTCCAGTTTAAAATTAACAGGAAGAATATACTTGGGTAATTTTTGAATTCCAGTGGAACTCTGAGTCTTAACAGAATGTTTATGTACATAGCAAAGTGTCAATGTGTTGTTTTTAAATGTTTTATTTTTATGTGCCTCCTGTGTACATGATGTGGAATCAGCTATCTATACAACTTAACTTACATATGAAACTGATAAGGAGTTACCAGTTTGCTATTTGCTGGCTAGGAGGAAGGATGTACTGTACATGCAACACTGCCCAGTATACAGGCACAACAGTGCCCGAAATATAGGCATAGCAGTGTCTGGAATACAGGTTCACAAAAGAGAATCATGAATGGGGGTTGTAGAGGTCGGGGGCGGGGGGACTGTTTAATTGAAAATGTTATTTTTCAAAAGAGGTAAGGTGAAATCCAAAGTTGTACTGAAGCCCCAGGCCTTCAATGTATAAACAGCTAGGAGTTGAGGAAAGAGTTATTCCTCTCCTGCATTGCGAACCATCATGCAGATTTGGTTTTCTGGGCTCTGTGGCTATATAGCTTTCATACCTAAGGGCAGGGCAACATCAATATAGCCAAGGGACTCCCTCAACTGGCTCACAAGCAGAAAATAATGACAAAATCAGAATGGCATCTCCAAAGAGTAGCCCTCAGTAATGAGACACATTGTCTATGTCTCTGAGAAACAAGTGGAAAGATTGACAGGATAAATGGCACTTTTGGCAGTTAGCATGGAAGTATTGTAAGTTGTACCCTTAACTCTGGGTCATCATACATTCACAAACCTGTGAATTCTAGGACCATTCAGGTCATGCCAGAATTTAGGAAATGTCTGTTCTTCACTTAGAGTCATAAAGACAAAACTGCAAAGCCAGGCATATGTAAATCTCTTTTATTATGAACATCAAACCTCAGAGCTGGCAAAAAAAAAAAAAACAAACCTGAGCGATGCAGACAAATACAGTGTCTACACTTCACTTTTTGTTCAAGAAGGCTACTAAAATGCATTTTTATCTGAAATTTTAGAAACCCCTTAACACAATTTTTAAGTCTATCTTCCCCCACTACATAGGAATAAAAACCTTCTAACATGTAAAAATTTATACAAAAGCCATTTTAAAGATCCCTTACATAAAATTCTCTGAAATCCAACACAAATTTAAAAAACCCAACTAGTTTTCCCAATATCTCATGGTTTGGAAGAGACCTACCAATTTCAAACTTTGTCCCAGAAACATTTGCTGTAATGATCCCCTTCTTTTTCTTCTTTCTGGCTTTCCTTTTCATGCTGCTTTGATAAGCTAATTCTGTGTTCAGTTCCAAGGGAGAGGTTCCTTGAATAACTTTAAGAGAAATGTAAAACAGCCAAATATCACTCACAACAACATAAAAACACAAATCCACATCAGAAACACAGTAGTCCCCAGTAAACAAGGTAAAATTATACATTAGGATACTTTAAATATTCACAAGTACTTCTGAATACTTTTAGAAGACGGAACAGTAATGTCTGTAACATATTCAGATTTTGTAAATGTGGTTTCATCTTGTGTGCTTACCTCCTTCCTGAGGCAGAGATGGCATTATGACATGTGCCAACTAGTGAGCAGAGGACTGCACGGTAAGAAGTCCCCAGGAGGTCTGGATGTCTCACATTAGTCTAAGTAGGATACGGCCCCAAATCACTCAGAGTACCTATCATATTATCTGGGTAGAATCCTCGGATTTCAAGACACTTCTATTATGGCCTCACAAAATACCTGTAGGGATTTTAAAACAGAATCACTTGGAAAACAGCAAAATTTTCTGATACATACCAACACTGTTTTCTTAAAGCCAAGTAAAGACAAAAGTTACTATGCTCAATCAACAGTATGTGTTAATTTATTAAATCCTATAAAATATGCCAACTGATGGTTTTTTTTTAATCCTGTAAGTACACAATCTCCACAATCTAGTGGAGATGTTATAAAATCATGTATCATTTTCAAACAGCAAATAGCATGCGTGAACATTAACAAAGATGAAATTCATTACCATTTATTGAACAGTTAGTATCCAAAAATTTATATTATACTATTTAACCTTTTAGAAAGCCTGTGCAGAAGTTATTTGTGTCTATTATACAGATAAGTAGTGCTTAGAAAGGACAAATAGTTTTGTCTGTCTTTACAATGCAATTAAATGACATAAGAACCGAAATGAAAATTACCATTTCAAAGGTGGAGTTCCATAACCAGGAACCCATACAACATTCGACTAAATACCTAAGGCTGGGAAGGTGGCCCAGTGGTAGAGTGCATGAGGCCCTGCATGAAGCCCTGGGTTAAATTCCTCAGTGCCACATAAGCAGAAAAAGCTGGAAGTGGTGCTGTGGCTCAAGTGATAGAGCACTAGCCTTGAGCTGAGGGACAGTGCCAGGCCCAGAGTTCAGGCCCCATGATCAACCAAAAAAAACAAAAAAACAAAAAAAAAAAAAAAAAAGACCTCAATACCTAAACCAAAACCATGATAATGCTTTTTACAAGAAACAATAAAATAACTACCAGGATGAAAATTGCTTGCTGAGAGAATGCAAAGCAATGATTTCTTTGTGAGAGGCCAGTGAGGAAGAGTTAGTAAAAGATTACATTCGAATTATACCCCAAAAATTGAAACAGCTCTGAAGGGCACAAAATAGTAGAGGTCACTGGGAGGATGATCTTATTTGGGCACACAAGAGAGAAATACAATAAAATTGTTTATGGAATGAACTACTTTGATTTAGCTACATCTAAACATGATCTACAGTCTACTATGTGTATCTCTGTTATGTGTATATAAACCTGGGCATCTATGTGCTGACTATGATATTAGCAAGGCTTTACTCTCAACAGTCTATGTTCTTCCTTCTGAATATAAGCATTTTTAAACTCTTATAAAGCATCTCTAAGTGTAATATAAAATTATTATGACAAAGGTCTGAAAACTTCTCAGATTCACAAGATTTATAAAATTCAGAAATATCCAAAGATTTGGTTATATAGAATGAGTCATACAGCTCATACCGAATATATATTATTAATAATTTCTTTAATCATGGTTAAAAATTTTAATGAAAATGTGAAGTTTTAATCCTAAAATATCACTTTTACTAGAGGAACTTTCCATTATAGTTCAATAATATAAAAACCAATCATCGCTGGGTGCTGGTGGCTCATGCCTGTAATCCTAGCTACCCAGGAAGCTGAGATCTGAGGATTACAGTTCAAAACCAGCCTGGGCAGGAAAGACTGTGAAACTCTTATCTCCAATCAACCACCAGAAAACAAGAAGTGGCCCTGTGGCTAAGTGCTAGAGCATTTGCCTGGGTTGAAGAGCTCAGAGACAGCACCCAGGCCCAGAGTTCAAGCCCCACAACCAACAAAAACACAAACAAACAAAAAACTCAATAGTCTATTATTTATTATTTGTTACAGACCAGCAATGACCAGTCAGTGTACAAGTATTTAAGACAGAAACAGAGACAGAGAGACAGACAGAAAGGAAGGCAGGGAGGGAGAGAAGTTGAGAAGGAGGGAGGAAAGGAAAAGAAAAAAGGAAGGAACGATGGAAGGAATAAAGGAAGAATGAAAGGAAAAAAGACAAGCAACAGCTACATGAGAAATTATAAACCCAGACTTTGGTTTCAGTTCTGTCTGATTCACTATCCCATCCACTGAGCGCCACTACTTTCAGACACCATGCTAGTGTGCTATGTAGAACTACAAAAACTTTGTAACCTTTCTCTATAGAGTACATTCTACAAAACCTGCTGTGTTCTGATAATTCACAATAACTATAGAACCAAAGCAAAATCACTGTAAACAGCTCTAAATTGATCACTCAGTTCCCCATTCCAAACTATAAATGGACTAGATCCCTTCTTGGAATAAAAGAGTAGCCTGAAGTTTCTGCAGGCTCTTTGACACTTTGGGGAGATAACTATTTGAGTTTAGGAGTTCTTGTCCAACATCTTGTTACTGGAGTAAACAAAGGTCCCCTTGAAAGTGTCAGGAGTACTTATTACATTAAAAGTAGGTGACAAAGTCAACAGAGTTTGAAAACAATGTTTGTGCAACAAAAATAGGCTCCAAAAATAGACTTGTTACTTTCTAACTTAAAATGAGACTGACAACTCTGATTTGTATGGAGTTCAAATTAGAAAGTGTATCCCTTCTCCTATCCACAAAGATATTGGAAATCCTTAAAATTATTCTACCCATATCTACTTAATTTATGATTTGATGAAAATGTTTAACCAACTGAGGACACTAGTGTATTATCCCACTTCCAATTATTTCACTCTATGCTATGCCACACATTTATTTAAGATGACCTATTTCTCAGCCCATTTGAGTAAACTATAGTTCCTTTTCAAAAGCAGGAGGTATGTTTTTAGTTACCTGTGAAATACTTTAAGCCAGTGGTTTCTCAGACTGACTGTAAAATAGAATCACCTGACGAGCCTGGGCCACCTCAGGACTCTGAAGAGCCTGGCACTAGCATTGTGAGGCTCTTCACATCCAGAAGTACAGCCCAAGCTGAGAACCAAAACAGTCAGACCAAAACAAAGAATAACCATAAAAACAAAACTAAAAATAACTAGAAGGTATCAAAATCCTGATGACTAGTTCAACAAAACAAGTTGAGGAAAACAAGAATTAAAGACAAACAGAAAATAATTTCTAAGTGAAAGAAATAAAGATTTCACTTTTTGCAAGAATCAATTTCTCAAACACGCAAATGACAACCATGAGAATAGAAATCTCTAATACTTGTAGACATACACAAGATTGAAATTAAAACCAGACTAGTTCCCACATATATGTGCTTTTGGCTCTTCTAGTCAAACTACTACCATCACATATCCAGTCCAGATTATGTGGCCACATTGCCTTAAATCATCCTCGAATCAGGCGTAAAAAAATTAATTCCTCCCTCTATTGATCTTTATTTGTATCCCAACCACCCCCAATATCTTGCTTTCTCCATTCTCAGTGCTAGAAGAGTCCCAGTCTGTTTCAATGGGCACTTCTTACTGACTGCTGTGCTTTGAACATTATACCCTTTCAAAATGTATGTGAAATTTGGAGGGGTATTAGGCGGTATGCCTTTAGGCAGTAATCAGGTCTTGAGGGTTCCTGCCTTGTGAAAGGCATAGAGATTCTTATGAAAAAGATTTCAGACTGTGCCATGCCTTTTGTACTTTTCTGTCTTTTACACTGTATGAGAGCACAGCATTCAGCCCCTCCAGAGGACACAGTGACAAGGCGACCCCCTTGGAAGCACTTTGACTATGGACAGCCACAAGATGCCACCCTCCAACCTTGACTAGGGACAATGAGTTAAAAATCAATGGATATAGTCAGGTTGCTCTAAGAAGCAAATACAACCATTTTCCATGTATCCCTTTCACATTTTTAAGTGCTGAAAGATAAGAAAGTATCAAAAGAAACTCTATCAAAGAAAAGCCAATCTGAGGGGTGAAGTGATTTCAGTTTTCTACTTGAGGAATAGGTTTTAAAAAAACCCAGAAAATTAGTAATTGGGGTTAAGAGATAAAGTAATCCTCTGCTTTATCAATAAAATATCTGTAGTTCAACACAGCAGGTTTCCTTTTAGAGCTTTCTGCCAAAAAATTACAATAGACTTCAAAATGCACAGCTGCATGGTTGGTAAACAAATGGCATCACTCAAACAACTCTTCTAACAATGACACATTGACACCACTGATTGTGTGACAACTAAGAGGGTTTTAGAGACATGACTCATTCCCTGAACACAGTCACTTTTGTCTCCTTTTCCCAAGCTGTGTACATTCTCTCCAAAGCTAGAGCTAGATAGGTAGGGCATTCTAGGCCTCAAAGAACCATTTGATCAACCACATCTGAAAATCTGGTAGCAGCCAAGTATGATACTATGTAAGAATACACAGAAGCATTTATTCATTCTGGTAACAGAATTAATGTGGACCTTGAGCAACTTGCTCCACTTATCTTTCAAATTAGTCTTTAAGTTAGCCTGCTTAGTATTTGTTCCATGCTCTGTGGAGTGTTTTAACTTTAGAATGTATCCTGGTGTGACATGAAAACATTTGGATTCATAACAAAGCACACTTTGAAGGTATTTTCCCTTAACATTGTATCTATGACCTAGGCTAATTAAGAAATGACAAAAAGCACATTCGATGAATTGAAGAAAATTCAAAGCAAGTAAGATAAAGACAGCATGATTTCTCAACAAATATATCAAATTATATATTCATTTACCACCTCCTGACCCTTAAAAAAAAACTACACAAAGTTCTCAAAACTATGTAGTCACAAAAGGTAAAAGAGTGGCGCTATGAACTCCTACCTATGATTCACAACACAGACTCTCATCTTGAGCTCTGGGGTTGGAATTTAGTGTCATTCAGAGCCAGCTCTCCCCAGAGTTCAATTACCTAAATGACAGTGTGAAAGATGGAGACTAAGGGAAGTAGAGAAGCTCTGAAGTATCCCGTTCTCCACTTTTTTGCCAAAAAATGTACCATCAATATCAAAACATTCAGCTTCTTTGCTAGTGAACAGATGACATCATTCGGTTGTCATTTGATGCTCACATTTATAGGTCTACATGTCTAAACCCTAACCCTTCAATTTCCTTTGAAAATCGTGCATTGCCTTTAATTTTCCTAGCTTGGTAAAGGCTATTTCGCAACCCAGCAAATTACCTAAGACATAGATAAGTTCTCCTT